TCTATAGATGGCAATATCATACATTATTTATAAGAAATTCTAAACGACAATTTTCTTAAAAAAATAACTTCATTCAAAAAATATCAAAAAAATAACACTTGTTATTCGTCTATAGCTAATCATTTGTTGAATGATTAAATTTGATGACGAACTATGGAAGTTATGGCGTACCACAAAACATCTTTGTGAAATAATATATAGAGATAAATATATTAATTTCGTACCATAAGACAAAAAAACGTCTCTGAGGAACGGAGAGGACAAAACGGCCGAGGGTAAGAGAGAACAGAAACTTAATGAATATTGACTGTTTGTTATTAATGTATCGACAGCCGTACTCTGAAAATATCTTTGTGGACTTGCAAATGTTTTATCGAATTTACAGCACTGTTAAATGCCACTGCCATTATAATTTACGGCGGTGGTATTATATATACGCAGAGTGCTTGTGCATAGTTTAAAAGACGAATGGTTGATTACTTTTTTAGGGTTCCGTACCAAAAGGGTAAAAGGTGACCCTATTAATAATACTCCGCTGTCTGTCCGTCAGCAGGCTATATCTCATGAACCGCAATAGACAGTTGAAATTTTCAAAGGTGATGTATTTCTGTGCTGCTATAACAATAGATACTAAAAAACAGAATGGAAAAATAATTAAGCGCGGCTCACATGCAACAGACATGATTTTTTTATAGTAATATTTACTCTTAGGGGACCTTAAAACTATTGAAACACGAGAGTGAATGTTACAATTGAGGGTAAACTGTTTATTGTAGAGAAGCATTTTGACAGAGCTCTCGCTGCCTGAGCGGGAGCAAGAATACATGTTTAAATTATTTATTATTTTTAGTTGTGTTCTTTCAAATTCGCAAGCGATACCAAAGTTGGTATATTTGCAAGTTTCGTTCATTCGTCCCGTTCAGGTGCCGTTGCCTTCGCCGCGTTATCTGGCCTCTCACGCTAACACTATTCTAGATACGTGCCAGTTCTACGCGAAGTACTTGACACCATTCGATGAGAAAAAACATCAACTGGCTCCTTACGCATACTTATTAGCGCGGTGGTTCCCAAACTTTCAAGGCACAAAATGCTCATATATATATAAATATATAATCTGGGAAGTATGACATAGATAGGAGATCGGCGTGTAGAATTGTTTGGATTATTGTCCGAAAAGTGAGATTTCAACTACCCCGCACTTTATCGAACTAAAATAGCGTATTACTTATTTGTCGTGGGTGCCATTTTTATAACGATTTTGCCGATTTTTTATTAAGGACAGGGATTGTTATCCGTTAATTTCCGTTTGTTATTGAATGCCAATTTAATTAAATATTTCGGTGCATACATACACAATTGATAAAATACATATACAGAAGCATTAAATATCTAAATATATAACCAAAATTTGAATAAACCCGATTGGCGTAGTGTGTCGTGCACCTGCGTCTTGCCCAAGAGGGTGTGGGTTCGATCCCCACTACTGGAAAAATATTGTGTGATGAACATGATGTTTTTCCAGTGTCTGGGTGTAAATAAAAAATATATAAATTTATAATATCTATTTATTTTGGACTAAAGAAAAATGTGTACTTTATTTATCTAGTGTTTTGAAATTTACGACCGAAGCGAACAAATACTTCTACATTCATTACAGATATATAAGTTTTCATTTTTATTTTGCTTTCATTATATTCATTCAACTTTGGGTACCTCTGATCTAATTTACCTATTCGTAATCATGGATTTAGATCCTAAGTATGGGTTTCGTAATACATAATTATAGATTCCCTCAAAAAGTTCGCTCGGATTTTCCCCGCGTTCGGAGCAAGCACAGCCACAATTATTGCAAATATATTTGCTATTATCCTAGGACAAGGTTAAATGCAGTAATTTAAGACGTAACCTTTGATTTCCTCTAAATCTATGACCTTTAGAGTGTGTCAGGTCTGTGATATATAACGGAACTTCACAATGAATTCACAAGAATGTGCCTATTTAGTTAAGAGCATTTGATTCTACTTTTCACGTATTGTTTTATTTTAACAATGTCACAACAACTGCTGTGGCCTTTAAAGGAATAAATAATAAATATATTTAGTATTGAATGGTTTAGTAATACAATAGCAATGTAATCCAGAAAGAAATATCATGGATTTTAATTCAGCGAGGAATTTTTGATTCATTTCACAACGAGAAAATATAGTAGATAATCGATTAATTACTTATTGATTGCTAAGTAAAACTAATTTTTATTTACATAGTCGGATGAAACTTATCATTTCGAATACCTTTTGGACCATGATTGCTATAACGTTAATATAAAAGCAACTTAGAACATTTTGTAAATAATTTTAGGGGTAAAATATTATTTTTTTCTGTACATACAATAAATAATTTTCTATTCCACGATAGTGTGGATGAGTACTAGTTTAAATAATTTATTTTTCTTAAGAATAAAAGCAAGAAAATAATTGTAAATTAACGCCAAATGAAAGCATGGATAAATTATTAGAAAGTAATAAAAGAAATGTTCCGTTTTTCCTTCAAGAATTCCTAAATATGGGTTCTATATTCACCCTTATAGTAAAATTCGATCAACCGAGCATTGACCTTTAGGTTGGGGTCAGATGTTGGAGCGAGACAATTTTCAACGTAACTCATTCAAGAAATTAAAGTAAGGGGTAGTGAACCCATTATCCTCATTTTTCACACAAAGTCTCGTCTAAGTCGATTTAAGCGCTTATCACAACCATTTACAGTTATTTACAAACCTAGGGGCCGTCCATTAATCACGTGATGTTTTTTTAGCATTTTTTAACCCCCTCCCCTTGGTGATACGTGGTTAGGTAGGACTACACGAGCACGAAAGGTTTCATACCATTGTTTATAAAAACGGCAAAAAAATCATGTCTATTGTATGGGAGCCCCACCTAAATATTTTTTATTCTGTTTTTTTTTTTGTATTTGTTGTTATAGCGGCAACAGAAATACATCATCTGTGAACATTTTAACGGTCTAACTATCACGGTTCATGAGATACAGCTTGTTGACAGACAGCGGAGTCTTAGTCCCGTTTTATCCTTTGGGTGCGGAACCCTAAACACAAAATAAAAATTCAAGCGAATAGTAACCCTCATCCTTTTTTGAAGTCGGTTGATAATGTAGTACGACTGGCATAGAAACGATATCAAGTCATCAAGTATTATTAAGTGCGAGATCTCCGAATGCCTGACTCACGATCCATCTTAATGACTATGAGTACTTCATCACTACTAGCGTGATGTCAACTCATTAATATAAGACGCAAAGCCCGAATCCAACGCAAATGGTTTACGTAGCGTCGTTACGTTTTAATTATTATTTGTCAAATAAAACTGTTTTAACGGATTTCACAGCGGCGCAGTTATTGGAATGTCTGACAAACCATAATCTTGCACAACAGTGATTGACGCCTTGGTCGTCCTAGCACTTGGAAAATTGCCGCTGTAATCACTTTAAAGCACAAAAATTAAACTAAGTTAATTAAACGAAGTTAATCAAATGCTAAATAACAATGTAGAATGAAGGCGTTAAGATTTTAGTCGCTGTGGCTATCAGCCGTTTAGCTCAGTGGCTAGAGCGTCAGGCCGCGAATGTCGAAGACGTGGGTTCGATTCCCACAGCGGCGACAATCTTTTCGTACTTTTTCTACATGTTTTAATATTCAATCTTAAGTGCAGAGATTAGCACTATAATAAAAAACTTAATTAAAATTTAAATGTAAAACAACGAAAGTGAGTAAATCATATCTGATCATGAAGCCGAAGAATGGTACCTACTTATCAGGTCCGCTTAACTCATTATAATTTTTACGGTATATTTCCTACGTGAAGGAACGATACCAAAGGCGCTAGTACTGAAAAAAATTTCAAGTTTTGCTGCCTCCTAAATTTTGCCTATTAGGGATGGGGAAATCCGCCACCGCTTGCCAAATGGAATCTGTTTTAGTTTTTGATCGCGTTTATTAGGCATTAGGACGATTTAGATACGAGACGAAAAACAGCTGTATTCAACAATATTCGCATGAATGTGATTATAACTATTTTATTTCCTTATATATTTTTTATATAAAGCTACGAGTATTTATTCGCTAACAATTTTTTGTTAGATATTGGTAAAAGTAACTTAAGACTCTTTTTGTGTATGATTTTGTGTTTTTTTGACAGTAAATCTGTGACGGAATCCATTAAGGTGATTGTAGAAATAAACAAAAATGAATTTTCAAGACATGCGAATGTGCATGATATAAATACTAGGAACAAACATAAATTGATTCTACCTACAACCAGAGTGCGTAGGATAACTAATTCTTTTATGGGACAATGTATACGTTTTTACAACAAAATCCCACAAAACGTTCACAATGAATCAATTTCTAAATTCAAAACATGTTAAAGGCTATTATAATGTTAGTGATTATTTAAGTGATAACACATCCTGGAAATGAAGTGATCGCTCCAGGCTCTTTCAAGTTGACTTTAATACATTTGTAAACATGTCTTTATTTCATAAATAACGGTATAAAAAAAGAGAGTCCCGCTGAGTTTCTTTCGCCGGTTCTTCTCATGTCAGTGGCTTTTCTTTCCGAACCGGTGTTAGCGTTTTGACGATCAATAAGTAAGTGTAATGCTTCTGTATTGCATATAATATATTATAAGCCGGTAATGTTTGTTCTGATACAATGGGGCAGACGGGCGGAATTCGTTCCCTGGTCGTCGTTTGACAATGATTTTTTATAAAAATTTGCAATCGGTTATCCTTGTAAAATTTATATACATATATATAGCCGGTATCTGATATATATGTTTTAAAATATATATATATATTTATAATGAAGTCAACTACTAATGGTTTATTTCTTAGCCTTCGAATGTTTTGGCGTTTTTGATTTCCATCATAGTTTTTTTCCCTTTTGTTTTTTAATATTGAAACAATTAATTGACGTCGTTTAATTGCAGATGGCGGGGCAGTATATACAAATTGGTATGGCTGGATCTACTAGTGTTTCTACTGGTCTACTACATACTCAACTTAACCTACCGACTCCTCTTGGATGATACTTCTAAAAAGTGAGTCAAACCGCTACAACATTTGCCCAATTATTTATTTACGAAACCTGGTGCCGGCACCAATGAAATTGTTAATTGCCATTTTAAGCGCTATCATATTAACTGCTCAACCGTTACGGAAAACACCGTGAGGAAACCTGCATATTTACGAAATGATGACTAAAAATATTTCGAAGATATATGAAGTCCGCCAATCCGCGCAGCGATTGGGAATGTATACTCCGCCCTAACACCTTCTGTACAGAGGAGTTATTTGCACTGTGGGGGTTTATGTCAGTCATGAAGTTATGCGAAAGCTCCGGCTATTTGCCGGTAATAAAGTGGACGACACTCTTGGCACGTGGCTGTTATAAGTAAAACTGGCATCCGATTATAACCTGTCGAGACGTCAAAAAAAGAGGTTTATGTGTTTGACTTGCATGTATGTATGTATGTATTTCAGTCCCTATGTTTCCTCGCAACTAATATACTCCTCAACCGATTTTGATGAATGATATTTTGCTAGATTCTTCTTTATAGAGTGTCAATAGATATATTAAAACGATAAAAAAATCAATATCGCGGATTTTCGGCGCCAAAGTGTATGTTTCCAAAATAAATTTTTCATAACTCATTGGTGAAGTAAATATATGTATCAGTTTTCCTAATGAGTTTTGCATTCTCGCCATTCTCTGTTAACTTTCGAGTTTCTTTCAAGTACTTGTTTTAGAGTCTATTTCAAGAACAATATCTATAATTATGCGAAAATGGCGACACTGTACTTTCAAGCAATAAGTATTTCAGTTTCAAATCACAAAAAAATTAAACAGGGCAAAGGGTTTTTTTTTACTTTCGAATTTTCACATCATCGCTCCCTCCTTTACAATCTATTCGGCGTAATAGGCTCGCAATAATAAGAGAAAATCCGAATACTGAACTGGTACAATACAAAACGAAAACAATTATTTCGTTCGCTCTAAGAAACATCGGGAATTGACGCGTTAAAGAGAAAACCTGCTCGTATCTTTAAGTTGCATCGAGTAACATTTACATAGCCGCCGGCCTCAAGTCCGTCCGCTGAGGCATAACTCTCGCGCAGAATGTTCGAGGGTGTGGTGAACTACTGCAGCTTCCACGGCAACGTGATCCCGCTCTCGTTCGTGCTGGGCTTCTACGTCACGGTGGTGATGAACCGCTGGTGGAGCCAGTACACCACGATACCCTGGCCTGACTCGATCGCGGTCTTCGTCTCCGCCACGATACACGGGCAGGTTCGTATCTGCTTCCAGAACGTTCTTACGTTTCTTACTTTTTGTGGAACACACGCAGACGCTAAACGGGAATTCATCCTTGCCTCAAAGACGCCCAAGCTTTATTCAGATGGAAAGATTGTTCTGTATGACTGTGTTTGTATGTAATATGTGTGTATGAAGAGTTGCTGAGCGTTCCGCTTGTTTCGAGCTCGGGAAATGCAAACAAGAGGATGATTTTTATGTTGAGAGTTGGCAGACGAGCGGGGTTCAGACGGTGTTAGTGATCTCTGCCGCCATAGACAGCTGCAAGACTTGACGGGTTGCAGATGAGTTGCCAACATCAAAAAATTGGGACTCAGATACCTCAAAACAGACGAGACGCGAAAGAGTACTTCTACTTCACGCTGTTCCATGTTGTGGTGAGGCCGTGGTGTTCCAGACGAGTTTGCCCATTTACGCAACAGCTGAATCTGCTGCCTTGCCCTATCACAGTCGCCCCGTGCGTCTACTTGTCCGATGATGGAAAAGAGGGGACGCATATTTGAAATAACCTTGATAACATGTATGAGTGTTTTTATTGATGTGGAAAAACGAAAGACGCCGGCATCGACTGAAATACATATCTCTAATTACCGCCCACTCGCGCCTTAAGACAGGTGCGATTGTTTATTCATATTACGTATGATAATTGTTATACGTCCTCGCTATCGTCGGGTCTTATTCGTGTGTACTTGAGGAATTTAAAGAATTTTTATTTTGTTTCTTTCATATGTTTGAAAATGTCTCGCAAGGAATTCTCCGTGTGATCATAGGATATTTATGTGAATAGTGTAACTTTATAATCCAGTCAGTGCAGTTGTCGGCTTATTTTTTTCATATTCTTCTTGTATTATGTTAATCTGTCTTAATAGATTTGCTTTGTTACATTTTAGTCTTTGTATTTATTTCTCTATATATATATTTATAGTGTTAAGAGAAAATGTGTAGCGAAAAAAGTACACTACTAAGAAATCTAACCACTATACAATTTTCCAAAGTATTTAAACGTCAAAGACATTTGAAAGATTCTGAAAATCCTTCACAAAGATTTTAGAAAACTACTGCTGTCAATGCTAGAAACCAAAATTTTTAATTCTTTTTCTTTACTTTTTTCATTTATTGACATTCAGCTCATTTTCTTTTTATTATTCTCTTTCATTCATTTCTAACGGTCCGTCTTTTCTCTTTGATTTTTGTAATATAATTCTGTTTAAAACGGATTCTCAAATTGACTCGCGAACATACCACACCATTCTGTCTCATTTTATCATATTTTCACAATAATTCTATTCTATAGTCTTCGTATTCGCAAAGATTCCGTTTACAAGCGTCCGTTGCGTCTCAACACCTCGTATGGAAATTTCAACTGCCACATCTGTCTCACGTAACGCGTGACATCCTTACGTAAGCAGAACCGTATCATTGGTGCTGACGCCTTGTACAAACAATGTCGTCCGCAGATAAGCAGATGCGACGGGCATCCGGAATCTTGATACACATTACTTTGATCTGTCTTGCTGTAGAAAAACCATGCGATGCGACAGCTTCTATTGTTGCACAGGACCCAATGCTTCGTGGGACAGTGCACTTACGTAAGAGCCATCAGTACCATCGACACCACCACGGTTGGCAGCCCACCACTGTGCGTTTTTACGAAATTTTCTAAACCGCACAACTAGGTACATTGTGGAACGAGTTGTCGCCAGCGGTACTGCCGATACGACTTAGGGACCTTCAAGAAGAGAGCCTACTCCTACTTTAAAGGCCGGCAACGCAATTGCGACTCAACCGATGTTGCAAATGTCCATTGGCGGCGGTCATCCCTTATCACCGGGTAACCCGCATGCTCGTTTGCCTCTTTTTCCATAAAAAGAAGTAATTTTACTTCCCTTTGCGTCTGGTGCCTGTAACTGGACCTTCTTTAGGGCCGTGAATATTCCATAAGATATCCATGTCATGTGAATTGGATATGACCATTTCAAACGCTTCACCGTTCTACTGAAAGGTGGCACTGTTTCAGCGATTTTTATGATTCATCCACTGGTAACTAAATAGTTATATTAAATGAAACTAGTTTACGGATTTTATCGCGTTTTTATTTCCCTTTCCACTTGACCATGAACGCTGGAAAGGAATTTCCAACACACCACGCTGAATTTGAAAACAAAAAGAAACACGATAAAATCTGTAAACTAGTTTCATTTAATATATATTATCGTCAATTACAGTCAATAAATAGTTATCTTAACGTAAGCCTTAGCTTAGACTTAACTTGCTGATAGTTATTGTGTAATTAGTATAATCGCTTTTCAATGTGTGCAACCTCCAATATTGTACGAGTGGATGAAAATTAAGTTGAAAATATTAAAAATACACACTCATAAATACTAAGTCCACACGAACAAATTGAATGTAGCAATCAGAGACGGAACAGTTTTCTGCTTACAGTTCAACACGATAATTTCTCCTCACAAGAAAATTACGTGTTAAAAATAAACTTCTGTCCGTTCATAATTTCTCTAATATTCCTTTAAACGAGTGGCTTCGGCGAAACTCAGCTGACTAATACAACGATAGGGAAGCTGATGAGTCATTAACGTCAGTAACATTTGATAAATGGTCGGTACTCCCTCTACGCATATTACTCTCATTTCTCTTTCATCTTAACTAAGTCTTAATTATATAAGATAATGATAAAAGTAAATTGTACAACATTCTAGATGTATTATAAATTTTACTTGAAATGTGACGCCCAGACGATGACGTAGGTTCAAAGTTATTTTTAATATTTATATACAAAATTCACATTTAAATATTTAAGAAAGTTTATTTCAAGAAAATTTCAAGTGTGAAATAATTAGTTGCCAAGATATAAAATAGTACTTCAACAACCATTTTCAGTTTTGTTATGAACCAAAACTGGGTTTTATTTTCTGATCAGTTGTCGCCAGCAGTATTTCTGAAACGTTAGGGGCCTTTAAGAAGAGAGCCTTCTGCTACTTAAAAGGCCGGCATTTCATCGACATTTGCCGATTCCTCTGGAGTTGCGAGAGTTCAAGGGCGGCGGTGAACACTTAGCATCAGATGGCCCGTCTACTTGTTTGCCTCCTTTCCTTAAATAACACTACGAGAACCCAGAGTATTTTGCTATTGATATTTCCTTTATGGCCTAGTGGTCGTGGCGTTGAATTTTTGATATCGAGGTCTCTTATTCTAGGTCGAGGTATCGGCACACTATTGGGTTTGACTCCTGTCAATCTTTTGCCTTTTTTAACCCAACTTTGTGCAATATCAGAGCTTGTCACCTTGTTATGGAAGATCCATAACTGATGGGTTACAGTAGATAGCTTTGAAGTCTACGGGCGGCGGTAATCACTCGACATCGGGTGAACACTCTTCGCATACTAAACGATTTTTCGGACGACGCCGGTGACATTACGCCATCGCTATATTCGCTGTCTCACAGCGGATTATTATCCTATCTGTTCTTTAAATAGCCAGCTCCACATCCTCAGGACGAGCGTGGGCGGTTGATGCGGCGAACTATAGTCCGCTACGTGTGCCTCTGCCTGACCATGGTGCTGACGATGATATCGCCGCGCGTGAAGAAGCGCTTCCCCACCCTGGACAACCTGGTCGAGGCAGGTCTGCTGCTGGACAACGAGAAGACCATACTGGACAACCTGAACAGCAAGTTCCCGAAGCCCTCGAAGCATTGGTGAGTGGTGCTTCCGCATTTTTGGGCCGACTTCGATAAAGGTGGATGTTCCCGTTCCGGTTGTTTGTTTTTGTTTTGTTTCTCACCTCAGAACTAGTCATTTATGCTTTCTATGAATTCATTTTAAAAATTATTTTTGCATTGGGTTCCATTTAGCTTTTATGTGGTCCCATATTAATTTCATTAGTATTTGACCTTCGACGACGGAGATATATAAGAACTTCTCAGAATCAAACAGAAATGCATAGTGAGTGAGAGATTTTAAGTCGGATTTGTCGTTTTACTAAAAATGTACTTGTACTTCATTGACTTTGTTTTTATTTTACTTTAAAATTTTCAGTAACGGCGTTTCGAATACTTTACAGCCACGGACATTTAATGGTCTGAAGTATTTTTTTAATGTGTGATGTACGCGAACATTAATAATTTAGAGAAATTATTGAATAACTCTTAATAATCCAATACATATTAAAAATCGATTACAATACAATTATTACATAATAATGACCAACAAATTTAGTCTTATCTGGATCAGTTTATTTAAAAGAGCCTCATGTTATTCGCTAAATATCTATTAATTGAAAAAATAAAGTAGCAATATTCCATAATTTAGTAGTTTCATTAAAAAAAAACTATGGTGGCTCCAGTGTTCGAAACGTCCGAAAATTCAATTTAAAATAAAATGCGACACAATTTGCGAGTTTCTTATAACAACGTGCTTTATTAATACTCTTTTTTTTTCACTCGCCAAACACTACTCTTTCAAACTAGCACAACTATTCCTTCATTCGGTCGTTTCTTTGAAACAATTAAGACGCTCACATTGCGACAATTAAGTTTAATCCATTCACTTTTCATTCGTTCACTCATTATTTTATCAGTCGCATGGATGCCAACTTAGGAATTTTCTTCCTAAATTTAGGAAGAAAAATTTGCAATGTAAGTTTTTTAGTATTTAAATTAAAACCAAAACGTCCTAAACATTTCCCATTTAGGAAGTTTTGGTTTGAATTTAGTGAACTTTAGCGGATTTTTGTGGGTTTTTGAATTGGTTTAGGAGCATTTACTTTTGAACAGTTGGTAACACTGATCAGTCGGCGCGTGTTGTTTTAGGTTACCCATCGTGTGGGCGACGAGTATAGTGACGAGGGCTCGCAAAGAGGGCAGGATCAGGGATGACTTCGCGGTCAAAACGATAATAGACGAATTGAACAAATTCCGAGGGCAAGCGGGACTGCTGCTCAGCTATGACACAATTAGCGTGCCTTTGGTGTACACCCAGGTAAGGTGTTGACTCCGTGACGCAATTGCCGAGATATGCAGGCTAGAGTTTAGCTCTGCAGCGTCGAACGCCCGTCAGTCGGCGAGACCGTACGGGCGCCCCGTAGAGGGATATAGCGACCCCTAGGAACCTTTGGGAATCCCTAGTTTACATATAGACGGCTCATTTATTCGCCAATAAACCTAAATTTGTGAATGGTTGTAAGTATTCCTCTCCTATTAATTCCTTTCTATATTTAACTCGTATATTTAATTCCTTTCCTTTGGTCGTAACAAATTCTTCCTATGTTTAATTCCTTACCATTGGTCGTAACAAATTAAACAAAGTAATAAATTAATATCTTAAACTACAATACTCGTTTCTTTTTTGATTTTATTTTAATCTTTTTGCTTTGAACCAATGATCTGTCATCATAAAATAACAGTGACTTCTTTATTGGTGTCGGTTTTATGTTTTCTGTAGCTCCTATGCAACGTCATTTGATTTCCGTGTTCACGTAGAGTTCAATTTCAAAAGGCACTTGTTTTAGTACTTTCTGAGCGAATACGTAACGGGCATTCTTTAATTACGCACTCGTGCAAATATTTGTACGTTGCAAGAGTTGAGATTATGATCAAATAAGACACATTTAATCACTCAATGAGTTACAAATTGTATATGTGTGTGTATTTCTGTACGTGTGTGTGTATATTTATCTTATACTGATCTTATGTAATAATGAGATGATCGCTCCTAAGCTGTTTCTAAATAAAAAAAATTGTACTGTATAACAATGTATTTTTGATTGAGAAGAAAAAATGACAAAAAAGAGGATGCCTACGGAGTTTCTTTCGCCCGTTTCTTCTCCGTTAGAGGATCCTCATTGCGTAACGGTGGTAGATTAAAAAAAATGACTATCGATAGCTGAAATGTATATTTCTTATTTCGATGAATTAATGATTTGATTTGATTTGAATACATAATAAAATAAAAATAATTATAAATTTTATCCCGTGTGCGTTAGTGAAAAAAAAGACATTAAATGCATATTATAAGTAAATTTCAAAAAGTTTTGTTATTAGTTGCCATGATAACACCACGACGTTGGTATCGCTTTTAGGTACCCAAGCGCGTCAGAAGTATAATTTCAAAAATGAGTCAATAATTATCTGTTGTTATAGTGTTGGATGCAACGTGGCGAATATTTTCATTCACCTTTCCATCGATGTTCTCAACCATACATAGATACGCTGCCTCTGTGCTCTCCGCCCATCGCTAATGAGCGCTAATATGAAATGGGGCGAACAACGTATACAAATACAATTCCCGTTAGTTTGTTTGTTTTAACTACGAAAACACGCCAAGAGAAACACGCACATTTCCAGAGATTTCCATGTATAAAGGCCAGTAAAAATGGGCGTTTTTTGGTCGACCGCGCGCTGAACCAACGATCCAACTTTTTTTATAGGTTTAAACACACAGTGTCAAAGTCGTATAAAAATTCAAAGTAATGCGCTACGCTAGTGTCATATCTACCTCGTATTTGTATATAATACTAGCTGACCCGGCGAACGTTGTCTTGCCGTATAAATTATTTCTAAGGGATTTGTAGGGTTGAAAAAAATATTTGGGGTGGACCACCCTTAACATTTAGGGGGAATGAAAAATAGATGTTGTCCGATTCTCCACCCTGGCCGATATGCACCCAAAATTAGACGAAAATCGGTCGAACCGTTTCGGAGAAGTTCAATTACAAACACCGTGACACGAGAATTTTATATATTAGATTGTTGTTTACTCAGTAAGTGATACTAAACCTTGTAACTAGATCGGTAGTTTAGTTTCGGAATTAAGTTATTTTTTTTCTGGCATAGTAACTAGATTGGGAACCGCCCCGTGTACGACTTGGAGAAATCCACTATGCTGTGAAGTTGTTTAAAGCTGCGTGTATGAGATCAAGTTTCTATCTCGAAAAGTATCGCGATGTTATCATAAGCCTAGTCTGCGTGGGGAAGAGGTGTGATACATACTTTGTTTATACACTATCTAAATATCAGGTGGAATCTTGCAAGCTAAGGACAGACGAGCAAAATATAAATTCACAGTTTAGGGCCTTAAATTACTGCTTTTGTGATTGTTACGTACTGTCGGCTAATTCAGGCAGCGTTATTAATACCTCAGGGCAGGGATTCTATTGATTTTATTGGAGAACTCTCGCCTACTTTGACCAAATCACATTTTTGTATGAAATATTTATGAACCTTAACAAACTCCTTTAAGTTTTATATCACACTAGCTGCTGCTCGCGACTACGTCTGCGTAGAATAGGCTGAAGGTAACATTCAGACAGAAAGACAGATATACATATGTATATAAATTATAGCCTATGTCTTATTCTGATATATAAGCTATATTATTGTAAAGTTCCATTAAAATCCATTCAGTAGTATTTGCGTGAAAGAGTAACAAACATCCATCCATACATACAAACTTTCGCCTTTATAATATTAGTGAGGATTAGCAGTTTAGTGGTATTTACAAGTAATAAAATAATAAACCAGTGTAAGGGATAAGTGATAACGGTCCACCGACATCGACATTTAACTGACGGGGCTAGCAGCCGACATTAGACTTTTGAAATTCGAACGGTCAATATGACTCGAACATTGCCTGCCAGTATGTTCACGGTATATAAAGCCTCGTTGCTGTGTTCCGATGGTACTGACATGCAAATGAATAAAACTTCGTTATGGTCTAATAAGCACATTTGTCTAAAACTTTTGTAAGTTAATTTTCATATAATTGATAGTAACCCCAGATCTAAGCTACCATGCCATATATTGGTAATCGTGTAGAGTAGAGTAGAGTCCGTAGAGTTTTCAATATATGCTCCATTGAAAACAACTGACTCTTTTCTACAATTTTGAAAATGTCGTAACATCTGATTTTTCGGATTTTGATTAGAAATAAAATAATATGAAAATATTTTTATATGCTTGTATGCAGTAGGGTGTTAATTTCTTATCGAAAGATGGGGTGCGAATTTTTATTTAAAATTTTAACATTCGTTATCATCATAAAAAATAGAATTTAAAGTGATATATAATCTGGGAAATTATGGATATAATAAAGTTTTTAGGTTAAGTTGATTAATGTAATTAATGCGGATACTAATAACGTATTGGCCTACGTACCTATTTAACTTGCTTTACAATTGAGTGATTTTGTAGTATAAGAGCACATCTTTACGTTAAGTCGCCAGTAGTTTGTTAATCAACGACCGGACTTTGTGGGCACTACTTAAATTATATCAAGTGTCGTTCCGACGTTCTCGGTAATATGAAACCGTCAAACAGAAAGCTATATAGTCGGGCTATAACGTAGCGTTTTTCATTAAAAAGACATAATCAAAGACTTTGTTAATTATTCGATATACCGTAACCCGCGATGGACTGCTGTAAGTTGCAGTTCACAATCAACCCGCCAATTAAGAACAATTAACTGGGTATTCTGCTCGTAGAATGTAGAAATATATTGTTAAACAAAACTATCAGTCTCAGAACTTTATTTAATTTTTGATACGTAATATTAAGTAGAGAAATACATTAAAACAGGAGGCTCAAAGTCGCCATATAGCTCGTAGAACCGATAACCGATGGGGAAGGAAGTTTCTCGAGCAGCTTCGTACTGGCCATCGCGGTGTAGGACGGCCGACTACCGGATGGAGACGACCTGTGCAATTGTGCGAGAAGTCGATGGACTCAGATGGCTCAGGATCGTGCTTCGTGAGAGTCTGTGGGGTGGCCTATGTTCAGCAGTGGACTCAAACAGGCTGAAATGATTAAAACACCCTGTAGGAACCAGGCACTCGCCGTTAGATGAACTTTTTTTATTGACGCACCGAACGAGCAGGCGGTTTAAGTTATTCAGTACTCACAGGATTCCTAAACAAGTATAACATTACAACGCCCGTGGTGTTGGAGTCGCATTGACAACCTTTAAGAAGATTGTCCCCAGTTACCTCACTCACCAGACGATATGCAAAAGTTTGACAACTTCGATTTGTTCTTGTTTCTGAGTCTGTCAACTGTGAGACGGCAGAGACCTCTATGACTCTACTATAGCGTACACACGCGTATACACTATATACTGGTGAGTGAGGTGGCCGGAGCCCAATTTTCAAAAGGTTGTCAGCCCATCTGCAACCCTCGGGTGTAGCAGATGTCCATGGGCGGCGGTATTCACTTAACATCAGGTGAACCGTCTGCTCGCTTGGCAACTTTTCACATAAAAAGAAATAAAAAATAGCGCATTGGTCGTGTGTGAAATACATCGAAATATATAATACAATTTCATTAAATTTTGGCTTGTTTAAACTTCGACCTTCGCAAATTTAGACCAAACTAGCGTGTAACGACAACACTCATATATACACATACGAGGTATCGCGCCGAAACTGACTTAACTTTAACACTTAAATTAGGGCAATTGTTGTAATCAATCCTATCCTTTTCTTTCCGTATCATACATTCTAATTCAAAAATGTTCATGCAATGATGAAAATCGGAACAATTTTAAAAGCCTTTATTAAAACATCATTGACCGACAAGAAGCGGTCCGCCTAACTTGTTTTCTTAAAAGACACGTTATAAATTGGAACGAAACAGTCCGGCCAAACGACGATCCCCGCCAACTCTGCTGTACAACCGCGTCTCTTCCAGGTAGTCACAATAGCGGTGTACTCGTATTTCATAACGTCCGCCCTGGGCAGCCAGTGGGTGGACAACAAGCTGCAGTCCGCCCACAGCGACGTGTACATAAGCAACATAGACCTCTACTTCCCCGTGTTCACCACGCTCGAGTTCTTCTTCTACATGGGCTGGCTGAAGGTGGCCGAGTCGCTGATCAACCCCTTCGGAGAGGACGACGACGACTTCGAGGTTAACTGGCTCATCGACAGGGATCTGCAGGTACGTTGGGGTTTTATAAAGAGACTAGCTGCAGCCCGCGACTACGTCTGCGTAGAATAGGCTAAAGGCGTCATATTCGGACAGAAAGACAGATATACCTAAAAATATGTATATAAATTAGAGCTTATGTCTTATTCTGATGTATAAGCTATATTATTGTAAGGTTTCATTAAAATCCATTCTGTAGTTTTTGCGTGAAAGAGTAACAAACATCTATCCATACATACAAACTTTCGCCTTTATAATATTAGTAAGAAAGTAAGAACTGGCGACCTGCCCCGGCTTCGCACGGGTTTATGGTAATGGTTATACATATAAATTTTCCTCTTGAATCACTCTTATCTAGTAAAAAAACTCGCATCAAGATCTGTTGCGTAGTTTTAAATATCTAGATCTAGACTTTGTTTTATACTATGTAGTGAAAATAACTTTTTGGTAACAAACAACGGAACCTCCTTCTTTTTTGGAGTCGGTTCAAAATAGGATGTGGCATATTATTTAAATATAATGACCGCGAAAAAAATACGAGTTTATTTATTAAATGCAGCAGGGGTTTTTGTTTAATTTATTAATTTACTTTCGTTCATGAATAATTTAAATCGGTTTAGTATAATAAAATGTATAATCACGGCGAAATTTGGAAGTTTTCGATAAAAAAGTCCATTATAGCAAAATTCAATTTAAAATCATGTATCTCGTTGATTCCCTCTCTTTGAACTTTAAAGTTTAGTTTAGAGACTTTCTATTTGTCGATTATTACGAGCCCCAGGAGAAAATAAGTTTTAATCACTTGGTTTATTTTCTGTTTGTACAAGATGTAAATTACAATAATCTATGCAACTGTGTTTTATGAATCGTTTCCGTATCGTTCCGTCATAAATTAAACGTGCAATTCTACCTTGAATCTCGCTCGCGAAGTATTCGCTACCTCCAATTTGTCTATGGAACGTTCTGGTTTTTTTATAAATTCGCAATTTGGACACCGTCCAATTCAAATCGTTTGTGTTTGATGATATCATTGTATTTCTTTTTTTTTTTAGCAAATTATTATTTATTGGATCTCTATCAAAAGAGGCTATTTCGATAGAGATTTTCGCGTATCCCGCTAATTGCTTTACTTATTACTAATTACTACATTATCTTGCGTCTCTAAGACGTAATCAATTTAATGACGTAATTAAATTAATTAATGTGGTTAAAATGGTAGTGAAATGCGGTCGACTTTACCGTTTACTATAAGGACTCGATTAAAACCCGCTAATAGTTAATTAATAATATTTAATATTAATAATAATACTATATATAATTAATAATAGTTAGTTAATTAATTATGTTAGTTAATAGGTTCGCTCTAGCGTTAGTGTTAATCGTTTTCCATTTCAATATAGCGATTATATTACATGAATAGTGTCTCCATGGCAAGGTAATTATTGTATGAACGGATTGGTTTTATGGAATATTTTTTTACTGGTGTCCAACATAACATAATATGTATTGACGTAACATGTTTTTACGTACGTACGTATATATACTTTTAGTAAGTGTAAGTCGGAAAAATCTCCCCGATTTTTGAAGTTTACTTTTAAAACAACAAGTGTGGAGTTTTATAGTATACTTACCAGTGTCTGCAAAATTATTTCTAATCATAATAGTCATTGCTGCACCACACTAGATTACCTTAGTAATCTATTGAAGTATAGTAAAAACGGCAATGCGGCTTATCGTACACTAGGCCACGCGAGAAACGTACAAGGATTATTGATTATGTTTACGTTTAACGTAAAAACTTGTTTGTGTTTGTATGGTGCAGAGATTGTTTGGGTCGGTTCCAATAATTCATCGCACGATTATGTTCGCGAAGCAGCAGCTTTTCCGAGTCCTCGCTCATTCATAAAAAGTTGTATACGATCCGATTTTACAACCTACATTTTGATGATGACCTGAACCTGATGACATGACATTAAAATTAATTTCGCTAAGGTCGTAAATGGCCGATGGGATTGAAAATAAATAAAACTTAACGCAAGTGCATAGTATAGTCATATATACTAATCAGCATATATACATATTATATTACGTATATTATGATTATGCATACATACAAGTCTATTTGTTAGGTTACAGCCTACTTTTAGGGCTCCCAAAGAGTAAAACTATATTTATATTACTAAGACTCCGGTGTCTGTCTGTCTGTCCGTCTGTCGCCAGGCTGTATCTCACGAACCGTGATAGTTACTCGGTTGAAATTTTCAGATTACGTATTTCTGTTGCTGCTACAACAACAATTACTAAAAAAACAATAAAAAAAATTAAGTGGGGCTCGCATACATCAGACGTGATTTTTTTTTTTTTTTTATGTGAACACATATCAAGTGAGCAGTTCACATGATGTTAAGTGTTTCCGCCGCCCCTGGACATCCACAATACCTGAGGGGTTGCTTACCTCTCATTGCTACCGAACTTATCAGATGAAACGCAAAAATATAATACTTCCTATTGGTGTACCATACAATGCAATGGTATATATAATTTTATAGACGACGGACATATTAACAGAGCATAAGCTGAATTTGATTCTAAATCTGAATCTGGTACGTACTTGAGACCTCATTTTATTTTTCAAAGATTATCTTTAATTTTTTTCAAACATTGTGGACACCCTATTAGAAATTCGTGTCTTACCGTCTCAATACAATAACCTATGTTTGAATTGATATTTTTCCTGTTATTTCTTGTCAAAATAGAATATTAAATTTTTTTTGGAATTACGGAGTGCTCAATCACTATTATGTCAAAGTATGTGCTTCGTCTAAAAACTCACCCTGTATACAGTGGGTACAATTGTGCCAAATTAAAAAACACAACCGCAGGTGTCCTACATGATAGTCGACGAGATGCACCACGAGCACCCCGAGCTGATCAAGGACCAGTACTGGGACGAGGTGTTCCCCTCCGAGCTGCCGTACACCATCGCCACTGAGAACCAGAGGGAGGAGCACCCAGAGCCTTCCACGGCGCGCGTGGCCGTCCCGGCCCGCCAGCGCAGCATGGTCACCGTGGCGCCCTCCAGCGTGAAGATCGAAGAGATGGCGCCCTCGAACACCGTGAGTTACAAGTTCGCCCCAGCCGAGGTTAGACTCCCGACCAGTATTAAGAGCATGCTGCACGCACGGCTGTACGCTTGCCGGTGGCAGGGTGACGTCATCGCGGTGACGTCACCGCACGGTGGACGGGCTGTCGCGGCTGGCCTCTTTTAGTGTTAGTGTTAATGTTACAGTTTCAACTTTCGGAGGTGTAGGTATGGCCCTCAAGTGTTGTAATACATTTGTCTATACTTCATACGGTAGTAACGTATACCAACACTAACGCCCGGTTTCTGAGACACTGATCATCGTAGAAGTCAACAAATCATCTGTTAAATGGCTTTTCATATGTTATTTGTGTTGCCAAAAGGATTATCAAACTGTTTAAATTGAACATTCTGATCATTAAGAAGATCATTCTGATCGATTCCGGAAGGTAGATAGCGTAGAATATATTTTTTTAAATTAAATGATATGCCAATTAATTGCTCTTGAAATGCTCCATTAGAATCCGTAATTGCTCCACGTTTAGTAGTATTCATTAATAATAAAAAAATTAAATAATAAAAAAAAATTATGAATTATAAAAAAATAATAAAAACATTAATGAATACTAATAGCGCTAACTTCCTTCCGGTCTGATCGATTCAGAGAGTTTAACCATCTTTTTGGCAACTCAAATGACATTTGAAAATCCATTTGACAGGTGATTAGTTGGCTTCTATTGATCAGTGTTTCAGAAACCGGGCGTTAGTCTCGCCCGCGTTTCTGTCTGCATCATACTGTTTCTTTATACAAATAGTATGATATAATAGAAATTCCACATAAACCGTTCAGCGATGTGCATTGACACACACGCAACTTTCGTTTTTATGTCTGTGATATTACTATAATTATCGCCAACGTAACAAGGGTATCGACACGGCATTAGTTAATAATATTACTGGGAATTGATTGAAAGTGGACATAACTTCAATTCGTTATCTCTAATCAACTACAGCTGAAACATTTTTATTTATAAATAACGCCGACTACACTTCTTATCTTGTTCTTTATTGATGTTGAATTAAAGTGTCCGATACAACTTATCTAGTAATACCGGATAGGAGTTAATAGTGAAATATGGTTCGCATTAAATTGGTGACTAAGATTGGCAACTTGCCGTTGAGTTGATACCTAGATATTATTGTTCTCCGGCCTTGTCGAAATGTCGTGTATTTAATTACATACAAACCAGATGTGGTCAATCAAGTGTGGTTGAAGTTAAGCATTGGTTAGTTTGAGAAAGTTTTTTTTTTACGTAAATAAACTAAGAAAGTCTATTTACACGTAATAGCTATTCGTTTAATCTCCCTCCATTCCCTTTAACTTGGCATCCTTATCTAATTGGTGCCTTATCATTACGGAAGAGATTACAGACTGTATGAATATTCCGTAACAAAGAGTTACGTATTAGACATTATATTTCTGTAGAACAGACGAAGTTATCAAAATAACCTATCCTGCCTACGTTAATATGAGGGTTGGCAAACTTTTTCTTTATATCATACTTTTTTAAGTATATCATACTTTTTTAAGTATATCATACTTTTTATCTCAAAATTAAACGAGGAAGTTTAAAATATGTTTAGACAATTTTTGGGGTCCTAAATAATTACTAGATACTGGGATTTTAGGTACTACGTAGGTAATTTAGCTTCAAGGTCGACGTGTTGCCCACCTCTGGCCCATAACCAGAAATAAACCTTATTGTGTTTCGTTTGTTAAGACGCTTGATCTAAATTTCAGTGTTTTAAATGATATATGAACATATTAGTTGAGTTACTTTGACCGTTTAGATAACTGTACTAAATCTACTAACTGTTATATAACGCATATAAGTTAGCTGTTGTAACTATCTTCGAAGTGCTGTGCTTACCTATACTAACGACTTGGTTTGTCTGTTCTTCACTTTGACTAAATGTATAATGTCACTATACTCAATGTTTGTGATATTATTTAATTTCTTAGCTGTAAATAGGCTTATATTTCTTGGGTTTGTTATGTTTATATGAATTGTTAAGTCAAGGTGTTAGTAGTGTTAAGTATTTTTTGGTCACTAGTAAGTAATACAAAATTGAACTGTGGTCTTACTGCGGGACTTATTTACACTTAAAGTGTAATATATTTAAATACTATCGATATATTCTGCAGACTTTCAATTTATTTTGAAGACGTAAACTTGTGAAGAACAAAATCTCGAAGAAAAATGTTTATATGTCCTCGTAAAAAATATAAATCTGCCAATAAACTGAGTACCCAATGATTACGGGCCGTTAGCAATAACTTACTAAAATTTAACTGAATTTCGCCACCCTATCATCACTTCCATAATAATCAGTTAAAGTTACAGTTACTGCTGTTTCAATGATAAAAACTGCGAATGCCTATCCGAGATGAGAGATAGATAGCTTGTGTATCTTTAGTAGATACGAAGGGTTTTGTTTTTGCATTGAGTATTAATAAAGTTTTGATTTAAAGTAATCTTTATTAGTTCTTCTCACACTCTTAAGAATTACATTCGGTATTTTCACTATATTTTAGCAATTGATGTTACATAAAACACATTTTTCACAAGTTTATTACTTCAATAATACTTGACAATCTGTTTCTCAAAGAATTAATGGTCTTTAATTTGGTCATAGTAGAAACATCGTGAGAAAACCAGCATATTTTCGAAATAACAAAAAAAATATTTCGAAAATATATGAAGTCCGCCAATCCGCAGTGGGGTCGCGTGGTGGACTATGCCCTGATACCCTCTTTACAGAGGAGGTCTTTGCCCAGCTGTGGGACTTTTATAGGCTGTTACTTTTTACTTTTGATCACTTTATCTGACAATTGTTTTGTATGTTTGGAGGGAGTAAACTACTAATTATTATATGTTTCGATCATGTCCCGCCTTCAACTGTATCTGAATTTTGTGATAAATCGTAGACATACAAAGATATCCCCTCAAAATTATACATAACCACAAAACATTTCAAACGAGTTAATGTGATTGATGAGTACTTAATTAACATTGATAAACGTGACTGATTTGAAAATGAGCTGTCCGTTCATCAACTTTGTACAACACCTTCACAAAAATATAAAAATACAAAGACGTTAAATCAAAAATGAAATCGCCACTACTATCACACTTTGAAACACAAAAGAAATCCATTTATCAGATGGAGTTTTAGATAACATTAGGCGATTAACTTAAAGCACCTTAAACTTGCTCAAGACTCGATTGGCGTAGTAGATAGTGATCCAGTCTCATGCCCCAGAGACCGTGGGTTCGATCCCCACTACTGGAAAAATATTGTGAACGTTTTGTCTTGTAGTATCATGTCGTGTATAAATAATTTTTAATAAAAAAAACCGACTCAAACCGGAAACTAAAAAACATTGTTAATACCTTTAACATTTGAGGATTGTCCTAAAAATAATCACCAAAAAATAATCACCAAAATCGGTTCATAAACGAAGAAGTCCGCGAACACACATAAAAAAATATATACGGTCGAACTGAGAAACCTCCTTCTTTTAAGAAGTCGGTTAAAAATACTGATACACTACTTGTTAACTTGATTTGGGGACGGGACAACTTAGCCTTAGTGTCAAATTCGGCTCAACTCTAAACCGCAGCAGCTGCAAATGAACGACGACGCTGTCTCCGGGATACACTTCATCGTGTCCCGGGGCAGCAAGCGCGGCAAGAAGGAGGAGCGGAACTCCATGGGCTCGAGCAACTCGATGGCGTCGCTGCAGCAGACGCCGCTGACGCGCGTCAACTCGGTCACCTCGATGCTGAAGAGGCTCTTCTCGAAGGAGGAACAGAGGCAGCCGGCCACCCCGGTCACCACGCAGACGGACGGTGGTGAGTGGACTATGGTCTATTGCTTCTAGATTATAGGGGCAGAGGGCGTCTAGATCTTGCCGATAGTAACGACTCCAGACGGTGGTAAGTGGCCTATGGTCTATTGCCTCTAGGTGGGGCAGTAGACCAGATCTTGCCGGTAACGACTCCAGTTAATCTTACCGCCACGTACCCTCTTCCCTTCTTGAGTCTATTCCAGAGCTTGCCTAGGAATGTGGTTGGGAGCTCTTTGAGGGTGTCCTACCTATCCACGTCGACTTAAGTCGTTTGGTCTACTAACCGATCGGAGTCTCACGACAGTGATCCTTCCAGGCCAGTAAACTCCAAGGATCTGTCGTAAGCAGTACCGTCTTTACAATAAGGGCGCACGGGGCCCGTGCCCAGGAGGCCCCGCATGGCCTACGTATTCGCTTAAACTATAGAAATTTTTTTTCGTTGATATATTCCGGCAGAAGTTTATAGAATAAATAAAAAACATAAGATAATAGCAGAAAAATGTTTTTGTCATTCACTTTAACTTTCCATCAGGGCCCCAAAGTGTGCCCTAGGGCCCCGATATGGCCTAAGACGGCATTGGTCGTAAGCACCGGTTTATGAGGATTTGGATTCGCCGCGTGGTATCTCTTGTCACCCTCCACGGCTTTGACGTTCGATCGAAACATGTAATCAACTGCAGCTCTTTTTTAAACGTTATTATCCTATTAATAGTAGAATGTGCCAAGCGACGCTTTTCATCTGATGTTGAGTGGAACAGGGTTCGAGTTTGCTGGATCAGTTTTCGCCAGCGGTATTTCTCGGCAAATTAGGCACCTTTAAGAAGTCTGTTCGCAACTGCACTGCCGGCAAGGAATTTCTAAATCTGTAGTTTTCTCATATTAACGTGTCAATAGCCTTGACTCCTATTTACCATATACATAGTTATTGCGTGCGACGCTTAGCGTATCATATTTTTTTTATTTTGCTTTTATATTTCGATGTTTAATGTTTCTGTATATTTCATCTATTGTATGCATCGTAATATTTAATAACATTGGCATGCAAAAACTAACCGGAAATTAACGGATTACAATCCCAGTCCTTAATAAAACGCGCCAAAATCGTAATAAAAATGGCACCCACGACGAATAAGTAATACGCTATTTTCGGTCACAACAGCGTGTGACCGAATAATAGCGAAAGGTCGATGACCCCCACTCCGATGGAGTTCTTTTAACGACGTGCCGTGTTTTGATAAAAACTCCATTGATTTTCGTTACGTCATCAGTGCGTTCAAAGTAAAATGCGCAGTACAACTCTCCAGCATAGTTAATACGGCTAGATCCGTTCCAAACATCGTGACTTGAATAAAAAGGCGGGAATGCTTCAAAAAAACTACAATATGGATTGAAGCTTAACAACTAGTAATAAATGATCCTTGTTAAATTTTGTGCAAACGGTGTGAATTAACTTGAAATGATTTTTATTATTAACCAGGTTGCAACTACTTCTTTAAGTTTGCGCCGCATCAGCAATACTAACTAAATAAATAATAAAGAAAAGAAATAGTCTAGACGCCGAGACACTTCCTGAAAGGTGACTGCGTATACAGAGACGTTTCCCGCCAATAATGCGTCATAAAGCGACGTTTCCAAATGGCATTGTCTAAGTGCCGTAAATCAAAATATCGTATTTCCCAGTCCCACACAAACGGTTTACTGTCGATGTCTTCGTCCATCGTAAAATTAAAATAAATTTGCTAAATTTAAACTTGATATTTTCTTTCCGATTTCAGCTTATTTTAACTCCTAAAATACATGTACGATGTTTACGCTGTTTGTGATAGCAAAGTGCAAGGCTATCAACGATAAAATATTATTGAGATTGATAAAATGTCGTGTTAGATAACTAAAGTTTTTTTATGTTTTTGTTATTTATCTATTTTCGGGAAGTATGGATTTATGGGTACAGATTGTTGAATTCACCGATTACGTAACATATTGCCATGTGTTTATAATTATAAAATGACATTTGCTTTTCTTATTACACGATTTATATTTTTTATATTATAAATTTGAATACATGAACAATATGATGTCACAAATTTAAACACGCGAGTCCAATGTAACCAAAAATAAATATTATTTTTAATAAATTGTTAAAAAATCATTTTGCCCTGAACATCCGGTAATTTATTTTGTCAACAAGGGGTGTTTTCGTACGTGCATATATTAATTGATATGTGAAGCGTAAATAAATGTTTTGAATTCACTATTTATCTCACAGACAGATCTTTTATAGATTTACCGTGTACTCTGTATGAGTAATTTTCTGACGTAAGGTTTTTATTGAGGTTACTTAGGTTAGCAGCCAAGCACTGCAGTCCCTTATAAATAAATAAGTAAGACTATTAATAAAATAATAGACTACTAATAATAATACTAAGATATTGATTGTCCTGAAGCAATAGTTAAGTTATGGAGTTACGGATGGCCACAGGGCCAATGAACCCAAGTCACCAAAGACTAAAACAATTACCGACTTTAGGTTTCTGTATATCAAAGGGGAAATAGGTTAATATCACTCGTTTTATATAATATTAAATATTCAAGTCGGCATTCCTTTGGTGCTGTGAAAAAAGTCAAACTATTAATTTAACGCAAAATATTTGGCACTCGCAAGGAAATCAAAACCTATAAGGCACTTCCTATTGGCATTGAATCATCAAATGTGACAAGAAGCAAGTTCCCACTTGGAGTCCGACTCACAAATGGCCGCGGTTTTTTTTATTGGAAACATTTCCACGAACGACAAGTAATAAAAGCATCGGGTGCGTCAATGTGGGATTTATTTCATTCTTACACATAACAATTAAATAGTAATTTAAATAATCAGTTGGTATAGTTGCTATCTCACGGATTTGAACTTGGCGTCAAATGGATTCCCATTTAAACTAATTCCATTGAAACAAGTGTCAGTTCTTGTGGTTTCATTCGTACATTGCTGTACACCTATATCGTGTATATACACTTAAGCGTGTATACAGCACAGAACTTAAGCGTATTCAGAACGTAGTCATAGCTAACAACGCAACTCCATACGTAAGTTACGAATGTACGTAACCACTTAACATCAGGTGAAACGTTTGCTTGCACTCTAGAAGTTTTGAACCAAAAGGCGTTCAACGGTCCTAAAAACAAGTCGCACCTTCAGAATTATAGTCACCTATTACAAAAAATCGGCCAATTGCGAGTCGAACTCGCGCACGAAAGTTTCCTTACCATTATATATAAAAATCATGTCTGTTGTATGGGAGCCCCACTTAAATATTCTTTATTGTTTTTTAGCATTTATTGTCATAGCGGCAATGGATATACATCATCCGTGAAAATTTCAACTGTCTATCACGGTTCACGAGACACAGCCCGGTTATAGACAGACAGAGAGACAGCGGTGTCTTAACTATTACTAGGTTCTCATTTCACTCTTTGTACAGAAACCTAAAAATATCATTTTTAGGGTTACGTAACATAACGATTTTTGTACTTATAAGTAAGTGTCCTAAGTATATGTTGTGTAGCTTTCTAGAGTCGGCCCTTGTTTCCATGACTCATTTGTCATCATGATTCTCTTAACTAGATCCCTTTAATTCTAAACAAGGGTAGTTTAATTCAGCGCAATCTAGCGCGAAAAGGCGTCAACGGACCAACACGAGCATTTAAAGCAAGGGCTGTTTCAGGCGGGCGCTTCGTGATATCCGCCAGCAACCCGACCCTGAGCAAGCCGGCTGCCACCGGCGGCAGCATGAAGATCGCCAACGAGGTCATCGAGGAGGTGGACGAGCAGGCGACCATCACCAGCATGCACAAGCAACGCCACGACAACAGGTGAGACGGCCGGTGGCTGCGGCTGCTTCCATTCCCACACGGCGAGTCAAAGTCAATTTCGAACATCTTTATTCAATACTAGCTGACCCGGCAAACGTTGTTTTGCCATATAAATTATTCGTAGGGAATTTGTCAATCTGAACACATAAAATGTTTGACAGGCTACACAGACACAGTTGACAGACACGGTTGACAGGTACAGTTTGTGTGGGAAAATAAAATTATTGCTATTTCAATTTTCCATGCAATTTTTCCATAATTTTTCATTGTTTAAACCTTCCCTGAACTGCTATAAATATTTCAAAACCAAAATTGGCCAAATCGGTCCAGCCGTTCTCGAGTTTTGGCGAGACTAACGAACAGCAATTCATTTTTATATATAAAAAGATAGAAGCATTACACTTACTTATTGATTGTCAACAAACTCTACTACCGGTCCGGAAAGGGAGCCACTGAGTATTTGCGTGACCCACGGATCTTGGTGTTTGTCCACGCGAAGTTTATAAACGTAAAAAGTATATTTACAACTTATAATGGTTTTAAAAAAATAAAGAAAAAAGTACTATATAATATAATTGTCTAAGAGCCTGTAAGTATCAAGTAAACTAAATCTTTTAAAAATAAAGATTTATTTTACTTGATAGATTTATTTTACTAGATCTATTTTACTTGACACAATAGACAGATCGTTTGTATTGTAACCTTGTTTTCCGAAAAGTCACAGCCTATGTAGGTCCCACCGCTGGGCATAGGCTTAGCAAACTTGATATAATTCAACAGGTTTTACTCACGATGTTTTCCTTCATCGCTGAACACGTGATAAGTCAGTAATTATAAAGATTCAATTAATTTTAAGATTCATTTAAAACAATTGTCTCGGATGTAAGTGTTTGTTTTCCAAGGTTGGTTGACGTCAGTCGTAAAAAGCATAGACAAAACCGCTTACAAAATGATTCAGGCGTTGTGCCGACCCCACCTAGGTGGGATAAGGGCAGGGATATGATGATTTCATTGGAGTCGATGCCGAGTTTGAATTGAGGTTGCTAAAAGCGAGCGTCCGGACTCTCAACTATCACGGCTCTATGATCGATGAAACTATAAAAATAAGGAACCGTTTCGGCAATTGCAGGCCGACAGCGATGAGTTTGTTCGCGACTGCCCCCAGCCAGCCCGTGGACGTGCCCAACCGGACCTCTGACCGCGGCTCTGGTAAGGCTTGCACCACCACAGCCCACCACCACCACCCACCACCACCTCCTACTATAACCCACCACCACCGTAACCGCCAACTAAATAAATCGCCGACTGCCACTACACAGTCGGCACGTCCCACTTGACGGATGTGTCATCAAACTCCACTAAAAACGTTATAAGCCGAAAAAACCGCGAATCCAAGTTTCTTTAAACCATTTCTCCGGTTCAGGCAAAATTCTTGTTCAACGCCTCCAAAAAATACAACAAAGTAACACTTAGACATTACATTATTAGGGATGTTAAAAAGGGTCGACGATAATTTATGTCGTAATGCTATGTTTTTTTTTTATGCGAAAAGTTGCCTAAGGGATGGCTCAAAAAACCGCCGGGACATCTGCTACACCCGGGGGTTACAGATGCGTGGACAACCTTTTGAAAATGGGTTCGGTACCTCACTACCAGACGAAATGCGAAAGTATTTGTCATACTTCCACTTTACGCTGGTCTTCTGTGAGGTCGTGGTACTTATCCGGACGGGCCTGCCCATTCGTGCAACAGCCGAGGCTGCTGCGTGGCCCTACCACCGTTGGTATATATGTGGTAAATTGTTAGAGTAAAACATTTTTAATAGAGAAAAAAAACTGACTTCACAATTATTTCACTCACTATATATTTTCTATTTGATTTTTAGGAGCCACATGGCAGCTAAACTGAACACAATTCAATAAGAAAGTTTAAAATCTGTTCGTGACGGATTTCCGAGGTAACGAACATAAAAAAAGCATACAACTGAATTGAAAACCTCCTCCTATTTTTCAAGTCGGTTAAAATAATTTGATTTCCCTTTTATCTCGTGCGCGTCTCCTATCTTCTATTGTATTTTGCTATGTCAAATATTTGAAATACATAAATACATACATTTTGATTGGCGCGAATACGGCAAATGCTTAATAAAATACATACGGAGTTTTTCGCGTTCGAAATAAATAAATGAGAGACGACGGTAGCTCGGGCTAATTTAACAATTACATTAGGATTTTATCTTGTTTTACACAAGATAAAATCGCTAAAGTTGATTTGTTTACAATCGTTCATTTACAGTTGATATTTTATAAGCAAAATGTCGTTGAACGGTATCCTTTACTATGAATAATTAACATCGCTAAAAAGTTTATCAAATATCGCAATCAAAGATAAAGCTTTTAATAGCTTAAATGAATTCTTCATATTTACAAAAATGTTCAACGCTGATAATATCTGTAATAAGAGGAAAAATCTGTTAGATCCTGAAACGACTCAGTCGTAGGTACTTTATCTTCGAGTTACACGACAAGACAGAAATATCGGCTAAAGCCTACTCAAGATAAGATACAACGTGACGTAATCATCAATTAGATTTTTTTTAACGCGTCCCCAGTCTCTGTGACATCCAGTGACATTGCATTGTTTCGCTTATGTAAGGCATTTGACGAAGACTTTTCTGCCTGGACAAATTTGGCTCGTTAACAAAACTATCGCATTTGAGTTTCTCAACTAACGGAAGGAAATGAGTCAAGACTAAAACAATTAATCTTCTTCCTATACCTCGTAACTTCTAGTTAAACGACAACAATACAGCTGTCAAGTCAAATCCATCACTAATGTTACAGCATTCGTTAACAAGTTACATCAACAATAAGCGCTTTACTAAAATCACGTTCATGTGACGAGGACGAAACTTAATGTTGGAGCAATGTTAAACGTTATTTTAACAAACTGATTCAATTAAGAATAGGACTGAACTCACGCCATCTTGTGACGTAATCCTGTCAATTTAAACCAGTTATTTTATTATTTTTTTTAAATATTATTTCTTTACAAATTGATTTTGTATTAAAACCACGAAAGAAAAAGTTTTTAAAAGTAGCAAAATTTTTAATCGGAAGGTAGCACTTCAATTGCCGCAATAAATTGTTTCATTTCTGCAATTTAATTACTGTGGCACCTGTAAAGGCCTTAAGTCATCATCGACAACCTCATCATAAATCACTGCTGCTTTTATGTATTTATCTAAGTATTTAAAATATCCTACAGATTGCCTTTACATAGAAAAATATGCATTTTATTTCGTGCCTTGAAATTAAAACTAATTATAATTTCCAATAAATTTGGTTATACTTTTTATGAATATACATTTTATAGAAATAGATTTTAAAAGTGGAAAATTATTTTTAATTTGCAAGCCGCACTTTTCAAATCACAGTTGACGGATCGCGGTCATTGACGTTCCTATTACTTGAAACGCATTATACATAGAAAAGTCTATAATGGAGATATTGTCCGATATTCGGATGACAAATCAATGTTATCTTCACGAGATAAGTGAATACGTTTTTACTGAGCTAGCGCGCTTACCATCGAAGGCTGCATCGCCACTTACCATCAGATGGGATGGCAGTCAAGTGCTGGCCAGTTGCAAATAAAAAAAAATAAGTCCTCGTAGAGTGTGTAACGGTGGTGTTTCGCGGCAGACTCGCGGCTCTCCTCCTCTGCGCCCACCCAGTGGGCGCGAGGGGGCGCGGGAGGAGGCGAGGGGGGCGAGGGGGGCGACAAGTCCCTCCGGGCGCAGGACTCTTTCTCGGCCCTGGAGCGGCCGCGGCTCGACAGCGACGTAGGCCCCTCGCTCAGCGCCGCCGGCAGCCAGACCCTCAGTGAGTAACGCTCGGCGCCGTCATTAAATGTGGATTTTTTTTATTGTGACGTAGTTTCCCGCTAGCCCGGCAGCTTGGCGCAAGAGGTCCTGTAGTCTCGGGCTCATAGGATAGGCACGACACGATCCCCTTAGATGGAGGTTCGAACTTCCGCTTGGATCGCAATCGAAAAGGTGTCAAAGCGTCTACAAATGTCATTCCCCTGCATTGCTCACAACGGGGAAAGTACGAATAGGCAAATAAATCGTTACAGTTAAAAATGAGAGCAGAAATAGACAACTGCAGTAGGGCTACGCAACAGACAGGCTAGTCCGGGTTAGTACCGCGACCTCGCGGAATACCGGCGAGAAGTGGAAGTGTTACACTTCCTCGTTTTGTCTGGCGAGTGAGGTAGCCAGAGCCCACTTTATTAAAAGCAAACACATCTGCGACCCTGCAGTTGTTACAAACGTCCATAGGTGGCGTTTATCGCTTAACAGGCGAACCGCCAGCTCGTATGCCACTTTCGCACAAAAAAAAATTAAAAAGCGAGACAGTGCCCCGGCCGGTATGCAATGTAAAATCAAGCTTCAAAATTGGCAGAAAAAAGTACGGAAAGTTTTTCGTCGCTGAGGGAATCGTACCCAACCTAAACTAAACGGCTGATTGCCACACCGACGAAAATCTTAACGTCTTTTAGCATACAAACAATTTTAAACATCGTTTTATAACGATTATTCGAACGAGAGATGTCGCCATTGCTTCAATCTCTAATGTTTAATCGAAATAATAACAAAAAAAAAATTACGAAGATAAGTGAAGTCCGTCCAAACCGCAGTGGGGCCGCGTGGTGGACTATGCCCTGACACCCTCTGTACAGAGGAGGCAGTGTGAGACATGTATAGGCGATACTTGCTAAGTGCAGAGATGAGCACTATGAAAATTAAAATTTCCAAAATCACCCTTCCGCCCCGCAGTGGACGAAGTGGACGGCGTGGACGACGAAGACCTGGACGACTTCGACCGGCTGCGCAGCGTCCGAGAGCAGGAGCGGCGGGAGAAGCACCGCCAGAAGCTCATGGCGCGGTCCGTCAGCGCACAACAGGTGATAGCCGGTTTTCGTCATCGGCACTTGTCAATAAGCTTTACATGCCCTGCCGTCCTAAACATGCGACAACACACTGAATCCCACGAGTTTAGAGTTTCATTTTTTTGAGTTGAAACTTAACAGACAGCCACTTTTCAAATCATTTAAGTAACCCGTTATGTTATCATTAATCAATAAGTATTTTAAGTGCATACCCTGTCTGAAATCTCTGTGCATGCCACCTTGTAGGTGATGTGTGACAGAGATAAAACAAGAGGCTCTACAAAACATTTCAAGACATGTTATATTTATCACCAAGTACTGTACATTTACTACTGTACATTTACTAACAGATATTTCATTATATGAAGTAATTCATTGAAAAAACAAATAATGTTATAAAATATTATGCTGACGGTGTGTCAGTTTTTCCTTCTTTGACGTGCGGGTTAAAGCATCTATCAGAAAATATTGCATACGAGTTTATGGAGATACACCATTCCCAGATTAATCCAGAATTGGTTCCATTAACAGATAATCTCAAATGGGTGCAATGCACATACATTTCACATATTCAGAAAGATAAAACACAAGTAAATTCATATAACTTTTAAGAATCAAAAAGTGGCAGAATGTCCCATTAAACTATTTTTTTTGTCGTGGATTCGAATCCAGCATTAGTCAGGCAGATCGGCAACGATAGCCAGTAAACTACCACCACCTAGTGTTACACTAGAAACTTCACTATTTTTAACAAATTCTTCTTTACTGTTTTCAGCAAGCTGGCAGTCAAGAACTAATAGATAATGTATTATTGCTGGAAGAGTTGCTCATGCAGTCGGAGGCATTGAAAAAGGAGAAATCGGAGAATGACTTCAAAGAGACCACTTGACACAGTTTTATATTCCAATGGGATTGAGCGTTTTTAAGTCAGTATTATCAAATGTGATACTTTACTTTTGTATGTATTACTTATAAGTTAACATCGACGAATCATGTGTTATTAATTTAATTATATAGTGTAAATAGAAAGAAAACTGGGGAATAAAAATCATGCAACCATCTGAAGAGAGTTTCTTTTACCTTAATTTTATATATGTGACAGTGCCAGATTAGCCTTGTTGTGTATTTATTAGATGAGCGGTAGGTGCAATCAATTTAATCAATATAGTTGGTAGTTAAAAGTGCGTGAAGTAGGCCAAAATTATATTGTAAATTAAGACCACTATATTTACTGGGGAATATATAATATTTGAGCTGTTTAAGGAACACCGAAGACGATTTAGCCATATTTATATTTATCACAAAATCAGGATAGGTACCTTTCAATTACGTTTCTGTAAATTGATGATTGCTCAGGGTTTTTTTGGAATAAATATGTTTTATACATATTCATTACATTGTCTGCTTTTGGCCAATTGAATATAGGCACCTACAGCGTCACAGGCGTTTAGTAAAATATTACGTAATATCATATTTTCGTACATAATCCTCCTGGCCTTATTTTGGTCGGCACACGTGGGTATTGAGTTTTGGCTTCGCATTTTCGTATCCCACACGTGCCCCGTGTGGGATACGAAACCACGAACGAGTCTCTGCGCCGCCTAGCAATTATACCTTCGAGATAGTTATCTACATGCCGAAAATTCTTTAATAAGTACAATTAAGAAAGGAATGATTACAAAAATCGTGTACAAAGGAGTATAGATAGCTTTTCTTTATTTTTTTTTAACAGTTTTCGATAGGTACATAATTATTCCCATATCGTAACTCTTAAATCCTTATAATTTTTGGTGCGATGTCCTGTTTTTGCCATTTTTATTGCTTTATGAATAAATATAGATTTATTGATATTATAGTGTTTTTGCAATAGATGCTATGGAACAATTTGGCGTAGTTTTAAACTCATCTTTAGCTTCCTTAATTACTTCAATGTCATGCGATACTGTTTTTTCCGTGGATCTGGTTTATAATTTAGAGGCATTTTTGTAGTGATTCAAAAGACATTGAGATTTTCGTCGGAGTGGCAATCAGCTTAGTAGCTAGTCAGGGCGCGAATCACGAAGACGTGGGTTTGATTCCTACGGCGGCGAAAAAATTTTCGTACTTTTCTCTACAAATTTAAATGAAATTTGGTAAGTAGATAGTCTAGAGCCTGAGAAAGGACATAGGCTATTTTTTTAATTGGAAAAGTGGTGTAAAGGGTTGAAAGGTTAAAGTATTTAAGGGCTTCAATGCGAACGAAGCCACGGGCGAAAAGCTAGTACTAAATAAAATAAATACATTTTAACTCCACCAATTCTCAATCCCTTTAGCCTCTAGCATCTAGATTAACTAAGCTATATTCAAATATCTATTCTCTTAAATGGAAGCCATGGAAACACTAAAGAATAAATAAATAATTATAAAGTATATTTGATGTTTATTAATTTAGTGTTCATTAATAATTAAATACCTATAAGATTTTTAGAACTTTATTCAGCTTAACAAGACAATATTGGTAATTACAGCTTGAGCTTAGTCCTTCTCCAGTGACGCCTCTTAGCATTGTATCTGAAATTATTAAAAAAAATAATATTTCAAACTTCAATTATGGTAATTTAAAGGACTCTTTACTGAAAAGGTTCTTTACTGAAGCTCAGGAAACCGTTAAAATTAACCAAATTCAAAAATGTTATCTATATAAATACAATGTCATGTTTAATAGGATTTAATTTAATATAAAAAACTCCTATTCTATTTATATTTATTTCCAAAAAGTAATCTGAGTTTAGATACAAATGTTGCACATCCAGTGGATCTGTCAAATTCTCTAAATATAATTATTACAACAGAAATTACTTCAAACTGATTGGTTGTCTTAGTGCTGTACACTTTTGAACATAAGATGGAGCCTAACATACTGCACTACGTATGAAAAAGAAATTTATAAGAAAATTTTACCTAAAAGAAAATTATAAAATAATACATATACAGTGGGTTCCACCCATAGATTAGTTTAAATTACTAAAAAATTTTAAAAATCATTTAAGTCTTTCAACAAATAGTTATTTCTTACTTATCTCATTAATGGAAAAAGTTTTTTAACTATGTTAATAATAATTTCCTACTACTTTGATTATCATACAAAAAGCAACAATATTTTATCTGGTTACTGCATCGATAAAACTTTATTAAAGAGAATTATTTTTTTTAAATGTAATATTAAAAAATTATAATTAAAATCATAGGACAAAAATTTAAAATCATTGGAGAAATAATGTTTTTTATTTACTGTTTACACTTAGGCAAGTGACGAGTAAAGTACCCTGTTGTGGTTTAAAGGGGGCGCGCGAGAGGTGCACTTGCACCAAAAAATAGAAAGTCATTCTATTTGACTCTAGTTGCAAGGCAGCTTGCATTACAAGTTCGACACACTACTGTCCAATAGCTTACACCACTGTACCTACTTCTCCAAACACTTGACCAGTGTAAATCGGTCTTTATCCTCTCCAGTTACCTCAGTCATTAAATTCATTCATCTCATTGGACATTTATTGTTATTTAACATAAATACATATTAAGTTTATAAGTACCTGAGATGTCACTATAATTTAAGCTAACTCACAATAATAACACACTCACATGATGCCCATTATAAGTGCGAAATAAAGATTTTGTCAAACTTTATTGCCATTATTAATGGTTTATGTTTATGTGACATTTAATTTAGATAGTCATATTATGTTAACAATCTAAATGACCGTAAACACATTGTCTAGATTGAAAATTGGGATTTAATGAAATAAAGACAAATTTTGTTTTGATCAGTTCCTATCCTATCGAAAATAGCCAATTAATTTCGATCACCATACTATCCACCTAATTTCATTGTAATCCATTGCAACGAAGATAAAATTCAACAATTTTCAGAGTAAATTGTGATTACCGGACATATTCCCAAGAGAACACAAGCAACGTAAACAGAAAAATAGCTAGTTATATTATAAAACAATAAGTATTTCTTTTTAACACTATTAACAATGGCTCATAAGTATATTTGGTTTTAACGAACACATCTTGAATATAAAAACTACTTACCGGATGGTGTTTCCTGTACGCATTCTAACCCATTGTGGAATTGGTCTGTTTTGTTTCAATTTTTTCGCAAGCTTGCGCTTAATAATAAATGTCTTGTGAGCCGACTGAAAAAAAGTAAATATTATATTTAGATTAAAACAAAGTTAATTATAAAAGATTACAGAAATTATTTAAGATTCAAAATAAACTTGTAAATACCATTGCGCCGTCTCTCGCTGTCAAAATAGAAAGAGAATAGGTTAGAATTTTTTTGGCTTTGGCAGTCTATGAATATTGTGTATACTTTTTCTACAGCGTATTTATGAAAGGACAGATTAAATCAATCGTAGGAGAGTCGATGGTTTGGACTTTAGTATTTATCGATTGAGATAATAAAAAAATCATCAAAATCAAAGCGAATGTATTATCTATTAGTTTAAAAGTATTAAGAGAAAATGAGATATATTCGGACAGCGACGAAACTGTAAAAAATATTTATTCCAATGCCTACATAAAAAGCTGAAAAATACTTTTTATTCAATAATATTAAGTTTAGAATATGTTTCAAATCAGTGATGCTTACGCCCGGTTTCTGAAAAACTGATCATTCTGATCATTAAGAAGATCAATCTGATCAATTCAGAGAGTTTAATCATCCTTTTGCCAACTAAAAATAACATTTTTAAAAGCCATTTGACAGCTAATTACTTTATTTCTACGATGATCATGATATAGCAGAGAGCGTTTAGCGTTAATGGAATGTATTATCAGTCCAAGAATAAAAATAATTGTATTTACGAAACGACTTTATATTTTCGTTTAGTTAAGTGACATGGCTATCAACACCACTGTTGCTAAGCTACAACAGATCAGTGTTTCAGAGACCGGGTGTAATCTCGTTTAGTTTTGATTTAACCTATTTGGGGCCGTATATGTCGACAAAACATGCCATGGCCTCTTAATCTTGTTTCTTAAATAGCCACTTAGTGTTAGAACCTAAAAAAGCACTTGGATCGTGTCGCATAGAACTCCTAGTCAGAATTCATTTGCCACATTAAAATGGTAGTTTGATTTGTAGTATCGTATTCTAGTTCTAATTGAGAATGATTAATTAACTGCTCGTTTGGCAACTTTTCACATTAAAAAAAATTTACCGGTCTATTCTAATTTTCTTTTTATGTGTTTTTTTTTTGTGTGTTCTAATGTGGGTGTGGCGTCTTAAGTTGATAATCTGTGGATCGACGCGTTTTTCTCATTTTTTTCATTCTTTCTAATTGATTCTTTTCACTTCAATCCTCGTTTCGTATGTTGGTGTCTTGACATCGTTCTGTATATTCTAAGTTACAGATCCATCGATACTGGTGTCGTGTGTACGCTGTAATTTGGATTCTATTGCGCCGTAGTTAGAGTTGATAGTGCGCTCGTATTTAGCGTGGATACGTAGCACCGCCTTGCCGTGTGGATACGGACTCCCATCGACGTGCTTTCTTTTCACGGTCGTTGACACTTGACGTGGGTTTTGGCAGACGTCTCAGAAAAAAAATCGAACATTTGGTCCGTTATGGCTCACAGATTTTCATCAGATACTGTGCCATCGGATAGCCTTAATGTCCGGTATAATAATTCAAACCATTTGTAAATATACGCCATTTATATACTGGAAGTTATTTTATTGACCAACATTCACCTATACACTCTTCGGTTCAAATCCCGGCTTGTTTGAACCATCATCTTTCATATTTGAAATGTCACTGGTGAAAATAAAAAGAAACGGCAATAAAATGCATAAATGAGCTATTAAAAGTGTTATTACGCATTAATTATTAAAAGGACCTATAACAATTAATATTCAATTTACACACAAAGATTTTTGTAAATGATAATAATTTGTGAATCGTTCTTCTTCTTCTTTGATTAATGGCCTCTCTTTAAAGTAATTTTGAATCCTTGTCATGAGTAATTGATTATGGCCTAACGGCGTAATAGTATTTAAGTCCGGAGTACTGAATGACATTGACATTGAGGTTGGTTATGATCCGAGTAGGTACCAGATTTCCGTACTTATCTAATACTCTGTGGTATTTACCGAACCGAGTACCGAGTTTCAGTTAATTAAAAGTACCCTTGCGATACCGAATCACATTGACATTGACAATTTCATTTGACATAAATGACAATTGACATTGGGTTGGGCTTGGTTATGGTATTTAATTAAAATCTAGATGGGGGATAGTTACCAAATGTTTTTTTTGTCCGATAATAATTTTATGTAATACTTGCAGTAGCATAGTTTCCAAAATGAATAAAATATTTGCTTTGAGAAATTTTCGTCGTTTGGTTGACTTCAGAAGCATAACAACTAGAATTACGGCAGAAGGAAAAGATGTACCCAAGACAAAGAATACTGAAAATAGAATAACATTAATTGGATCAGATAATTCAGTTAGTATCACAGATCTCAAGAGCGCTCAGAGTATATCACTTAGACGAGAATTAAAATTAGTTAAGATTCAAGACATTGACACAAAAACTAGGCGACCAGTATATAAGTATGTATTAAAATATAGCATAAGAGTTTAATTGCTGTGCCACATTTTTCAATATTTAGTAGTTATTACGGATTTGAAGAAGTCTTAATTACTGTTGTTATACCCTTATCCATTATTTCTACTCATATGAATAATACACCCGTAGTTAATACTTATAATACTTGCAATATTGCGCCATTCTAATTGTTATAGATATTTTATGTTTAATTTTTAAATTTAATTAGGTTATTAACAAATGCTCAATACCATGAAGAGGAACTTGCTAAGAGAAAAGAAAAACAGGTTAAGAAAGAGAATGAGTTGACAAAGGGGCAAAAGTTAATTACTTTATCAACTCGCATTGCTGAAAATGACCTTATGACAGGTGTAAAGAAAATGATAAAGCTCCTAGAAAAACAATATGAAGTCAAGGTTGTTGTGTCAGGCGCAGAAGAAGACTCTACACAAAGCTTGGTATGTTTTATATCTTGATCAATTTAACTATAATTATTATTATTGTCAGACCACTTCTGCCCACTGGTGCACATGGGTGTCTCCCAGATAGGAATCAGTAGCCCTATACTTAACTTTTTATTTTCAGTCACCGCAGGAAGTCTTCCATAGTTGCTAGATTGTGTCAGAATAAATTGAATAGCGTTCCTAATATATCCACATTTGCCTTACTAGGCAAATGTTGATATATCAAAAAAAGTATTCTTTTAAAGTTCTTCATTTATGTTGTTTAGCAGTGGTGCCATGCTTCATTCCAAAATTATTGTTCTAAAATTTAGCTCTTATAGTTCAGTTGATAAAAATATAAATTATACCAGGAAGTTGGTTGCATTTGGTTGTTTTAATATCAACTTTATCATGTCATATTTTGATTGAAATCTCTGTCGCTAGATAGGCAAAATGGCCTTCAAAAAGCCTGTGAGATGTTACATTTATTTTCTTTGACTGAAAAAAAAAAGATTAATGTACTATAAATGTTTCAGCGACTTGGGGTGTGCTTGTAATATTTTTATTAAATTATGCCTAAAAATATGTTTAATATAAATAAAATTAAAAAAAAAAACATTACACAGACTACCATGTATTAGTAATTAATCATGGTCAAATTTCGACCACTGGGTGGCCACTGTCATATTAAATGGTTGACCAGACTTAGAAGACACAATTATGTTTTTGCAGGAAAAAATATATGCAGTTATTGAAAAGAATATCAAGTCTGTTGGTAAAGCTGTACAAAAGAGAAGCAAAGGCAACAATTTGAAGTTTCAGATGATCCCCTTGAGAGAGAAGCCATCTCAGGATGAAAACCCTAGTTCACAGCAGAAACGTAAGGATGGTGACAAGGGTCCCCTATGACTAGTTGTGGTTATCTTAGGAGTTTTGATTGTAAAGTATACAATTTACCTGAAATATATTTTTTTACCAAACAGTGAACAGAGACTTAAGCATAAGAGAGACAAAGATGGCAAAGCTAATCAAAAGGCTGAAAGTTTCTAGACAATGTTACGCTTTTATGATTTAATAATGTAAATTTTTTACCTTGTAATTATGTAAATAAATTATTTTTTAATCATATTCGAAATTGTTTGTATACCTATAATAATGGATACGGCAAGTATTGCATATAATGCGAAATAACAATGAAGATAAACAACATTGAGATTTTCGTTGGTGTGGTAATCAGCCGTTTAGCTTGGTGGTTAAAGCGTCTGGATGCGAATCCCGAAGACATGGGTTCCATTCCCACAGGGGTGAAAAACTGCATACTTCTTTCTACAAATTTTAATCTTTTATTTCATGCCTGTCTTATGCTATAATATATCCTTGCCATATCTATTAAAAAATATCACAAAGATATACACATTTAGTGCCCATGCAATCTTCTGGTGGCACCAGCGTATTCTGATGAGCGTATGGGCTGCATTGATGAAAAATCCTTTCTCACAGAAAAAGAAGCCAGTGGAGACTTGAGTTTCAGTTTAATTTTTTTCTGTCGACATTTAGGCCCAGTTGACACTAGTTATGATTAGAGGTAACATTAAAAGAGTTCAATACAAAAATCGAGAAGAGTATATTTTGCGAAAGTACTGGCTGATTTATATTTTCCCATGTAAAAATGATAGAAATAAAACAAGGTAATAGAAAGAAATGAGAGATTTAATACAGCATCCATTAATTCAGTCACTTTTTTCTAATTAAATAACTTAAAAACATACAAAGGTTCTAACATGGCAAGGAAATACTTTATTCTAATTGTGGTATTACTAAATAGTTTATAAGTTAATGTTTTATTTTTATCAATTGGAATTATCACAGATGCTTAAGAGATCTTTAAAATCTTATGTGGTAGTTGATATAATAACACAAAACTTATAATATATATATGCATGGTTATATGGTCAAGTAAGCGCTATACATAAGATGGTCAACTTTTCTGTCACTACGCGTCAATAAGATTGTCGGTTAATAGAAAATTAAAAATATTTGGCTAGGCTTACTAAAGTATTAGATAATATTAAAAAACTATTGTTTTAGCTCACAACATGGATTTGAATAATTTGTATACGGCATAGTAAACATACACATATTTAAAACTTATTTGTAAATTAAATAGTGGACGATGTAGTCAGGTATTATTTTAAAGCATTCACTTAACTATAGTATACGCTTAAATTACGTCTGTGAATTTCTTAGCCCTAACGAAAGTTCAAAATGAATTAACTTGTTTATTCGTTAGCAAATATTTTTTATAAAAATAGACAGCTTTGTAAAAATGTATAGTATTCAACATTCGTGTCAAAAATAACGGCGCAAAATTAATTATGTTCCATTTTACATTATGACCGCGATTGTACTACAACGTGATAAGACTTTACTATTTTTATAATAATGTCAAGTAAACAAGCATCGAGTTCACGATACGCGCAATTAACACTTTAAATATCTGAAGTTTATTTTTGTAACATATATGAATGAAGACAAATTTTGTGTCGTGGATAATTTTGAACCGTCTTTTCAAACAGAAATTATTACTGTGTTTAGCCGTTTCCACGGTAATATGGTATAGTCTACGTGTTGTAGACTGGCTGAAATTTTGCAAGACAAGTCGGATTATCAAATCGGAGTGTCTTAGGTATAGTGTTGCCAACGAAACCATGTTGCCAACGAAACCTTGAAGTTCGGATTTTTTTAAGCCATACCTTGATCGTTAAAGTTTTGTTTTTGAAGTCACATAGGTGTTTTCAGACGGGTTAACACCTCAAGTTAAGAAAACACCATACAACATACAACTATACACGAACCAAGTTATGTCGTATATTGTTCATACATAATAATTGGCCGATTTCGGATTACAAAGGGCCCAGAGCCAGATAGCCGTCTTGATTTACATATTGATATCACTTGACGGCTCAATTTTTCTTATTGTATCGCAATCTGCCCTTATCTGACTAGTTTTCTAAATATCTTGAACATATCAACACAGCTAGTTTCACAAAGACCACGAACTTGACAGAAGACAATCACACAAATGTTGAAGAGATTAGGAAGCGAGTAAGTCATAACATAATCACCACTACACTAAATTTCGATAATCTAACTTGTCCGAATACACTCGCAACGGCATCTCCCAACGCTACTCTATCTTATTCTACTATATGGGCAGACGACGAGAGTGAAGCTCATTTCCAAGTCATTCCTAAGGTACGTCTCAACCCCTCTGCAAGGTGCCAGCGGAACAGTCCTCCGACGGGGCACGTACACGAAGTGCGTGGACTCCTGAATACAAACAGAGTTTGTCCTTCTACGCATATATGACATACGCGTATCGGTCATTGTTGGCCGTTGGCAAATCAGTGTTGAGGGTCCTGCCCCACGTTAGCAGAGGCGACACGGTGCCCACCACGGGCGCAGCGCGCGCTGCACCTTTTATGATGTCCTGGTAACAAGATGACGGTCATATTTGTCAAGTTGCAAATTAAAAACAACTATGGGTTATTGTTTTATTACAAAAACTTTTGAACGCACACGATTATTACAGTAAACTATTGTCACGAGATATTTTAAAAGGGAAAAAAAATATTCTGATAAGAAAAATGAAGGAATTAGGTGCTTGATTGTAATTGAATTAAAAATAAATACTAGACCCAATGTATGGCGTAAGATGCCGTATTAATCGTAAAATATGCATCAAAAAAACTAAAATGAAAAAATATATTTTAGTTATTAATTACTCAAATAAAATAATTATAAAAACCATGCACATAAAGAGTTAATGTGATAATTTTGATGATAGCATGCAGACTAACAAAGATATTTTGATTATTTTGTTCAAAATATTAATGTCGTTATTATTAGATTAACCAGAAAAACCTTGTTTTGCGGTAGCACTCTATTTATTATTTATTGAGAATTAATTTATCTTTTCCAATCTAACATTACCGTGTTATGTTTTTTGTAAACAGGAACCATTTTAATAATGCGCGTGTACCGCCTTAGAGCTTATCAATGGATAATTGGATATTAATCTATTTAGAAGGAAGCGAGAATTAAGTCATTACTTATTTTTTTATTCAATAATCAAATCTATAATAAATATGTATTTTTTATATACTTTTGGAAATTGTGTAATTTGATTCGTTGTTAAATGTAACAAGTAGAACTTTTCATAATAACAATAATAATAGCGATTAATAACGTAACGTAATGAATAATGATATCTTTTTTTTATAGATACTTTATTTAAAATATAAAATATTGTTTTCAATAAAGTTACAAAAGCTATTCACAAACGACAGAATAAAACATTCTATTATTAACTTTGTTAATCATTTGTGATTAATTGATAATTTCGTGATGGCGAATGGTGTTGCCATGCTGATGAATGAAAACTGTTACGTGAATGTAATTAGTAAACATGCGAAAAGCATTAGTATGAGGGTTAGACACCGCTCTCTTTTTCTCTTTATCATGTATTGGAGAAAGAATTTACTCATATTAAACCATCACATTAAGATTATAATAAGTTGAAGTTATAATAAGTGATTAAGCCAATTTGAAATTTTTATAATTTTTAAGCCAATTTTAAATCTCATCTATTTTATTGCCACTAACAAAACCAACTCTTGGAGACGGGATTTTCTTTAGTAAGTAATGGATATCTTCTTCAATCTCTTGGCCTTATCCCACACTTGGTGGCGTTAGTAACTATTTGATTTAATTTACCTAAATAATGGATTCGCATTGACAGTAAAAAAAATTAAATCAGAAAAGACGCTATGTGTGTTCAGTTTTAGCGTGAAGGTATCGTAACCGAATCTATAATGAATTTAAAGAAACTAAGATTTAGCGAATCGACAAGGTTACGGATTACTTTTTTATGTGAGGTGGTGAAAACGAGCGGCTAATGCCACCCATGCACATTTATACACTACATTGACACTGCAGATGTGACGCTAAATTGAGAAACATTATGAACGTTTCTTTCCCTCAAAATGTAACATTAAAGTGCTGATTATGTTATTACTCTTTAATTTTTTTTTACTTCTTCGCGTGTTCTGAACTTAGCCACTTCGATTGCACAATTCGTGGCGTCTATCAAATCCTGCCAGGCGAATGTATGAAGTTTCCACTTCAATAACAAAAACGAAGTTCGTTTCGATAAACAAAACTTCCTGCCAAAAAAGTTTCGGTTTAAATTTACCTCCTAAAAACTTCTATCGTAAATTTTTTTCCTCCTAAAAATCTGGGAAGATAAGTGGCCAAGTTGGCATTGCAAGTAGCGGCGTTGCCGTCCGAGAGCGAGAGAGCGGCGCGTCCAGACACACCGTGTTACCCATGAGGGCGCGGCGCCGGCCCGAGCGTCGCCCGCGGCAGCGGCAGCGGCGGCGCCACCCCGCGCGCCCGTACCCGCGGCTCCGAACGCGCCCCACCTCGCGCGGCGCCGCCGACGCCCCGCCGGCCCCCGCCGCCCCCACCCCGCCGGCCTCCGCCGACCGGTCCTCGATCATGTGCGACTCCATCGAGCCCAGCGGCGACTCCGAGCTGCGGGGGGAAGGGCACCGTTCGACAATCGATAGGGGCCGATGGGCCGTCGGCGGCAATGGCAACACTCCGAATGGTACGGATGTCGAAAAAATATCGATTTATCCATGTTTTTGATTCTGTATGTACATTTTCAGCTGATATATTTGGATCCGTTACATCGATACAAAATATTCAATATCGAAAATAGTATTAAAACGATATTTTTTCAAATTCGAATCCGGCATAGAGTCGTAAGTGTTAAATATTTAATAATGGAAAAAATTGACATACTTTTTTTTTGGACAACGAGGTTTAGGACGTATATTTGATATATAGAGGTCGGTATTCATATTTTTATAAATATCGATATATTTCTTAAAATTCGACACCCCTACCAAATGGGCTAAGGCTTCCAAGCCTCTGGATGCTATGTATTACAGATAGGGAATAGTAAAGAAAAGTAACAGCCTACACATGTCCCACTGCTGGACAAAGGCCTCCTCTATACAGAGGGTATCAGGGCATAGTCCACCACGTGGCCCCACTACGGATTGGCGGACTGTCTTCGAAAAATATTTTTTTTTTTGTTATTATTTTAAAAATATGCAGGTTTCACGATGTTTTCCTTCACCGCGGAGCACGTGATAAGACAGCACTTAAAGTTAAAAACTTCATTGGTTCCGGCACCGTGGATCGAACTCAGGTTGCTCGAGTATATTGAATTAAAGGGGAGCGCCCGGACACTGAGCTATCGCGGCTCTAGGGAATATAGTTTTAAAATGCTGTACGTCTCAGACAGCGTTCACACACACAAAGCAGCGTTCGGTAGCGACGATATCAGTCGACGCTACCGAACGCTGCTTTGTATGTGTGTCACTTTTATGTATTTTAAAATGTTGCCATCACTATCGATTGACGTCTTGTTATTATTACCAGAGTGTCAGACGGAAAGTCTAAGTGCAATGGAATAAACTGCTTTATTAAATTGGGAAGATTCCAAACGTACACGTGTAACATTTATGTTTTTACACACTACGATTCGGCTCAATGCACCTAATCGAGAAAACAGTTTAAAAAAAGTTCTTTCGCGGCCCGTGTTTACAATATTGCGTATCTTTATGGGACACTTCAACTTCTTAAAGGTCAACCTTTGACCGCTGTAACATAGAGTTTAGTCTATTTATCAGTGTTTTGCTCCGCCTCAAAGTCAAAATTTTTATTAGTTCTTACAGTGATAACAAAACAAGTTTAAAACATACGAATGTTTCTTATGTGCGAATTCTAAATGAAATATAATCATTAACCTTTGATACGATATACAAGACATTTATTCTTATTATATTTACTTTTTGTAATCGTGGGTAATTGCGGGTAAAAAAATCGGATAATTGTCTAATAGTTATGATTAATATTCCAAAAAAAAAATATTGGTATGACGAATCACTAACTACTCCTGGGTATAATAGCATTTTTATTAAATTATGTGTCATGAAATAGTAAAAATTAGGATTGGGAATTTCGGAAAACAAAAACTTCTTAGCCTGGTTGAAACCCTCATTGAGTAAGCACAATTTATATATTCGTATAATAATATGGAACTAACTGATAATAACATGCATTAAACACCCCAAGAAATTCCTGTACTAAAAATAAACCATCAATAAAAATAAGTCATCAATCAATGACAAAACAATTCAGTCTGACTGATATACTTCAAAAGAGGTAGGTATGTCAGATTTTTTTAGATTCACACCTTTAAAAAAAGTATGATGTATATGCTTACTTGGCGCTGACCGCACAGTACTCTGTGAGCTGTTCCCATGTGCATCCGTAATTGCAACACTCGTCAGCGATACCGGTTTGCCGCCTTCGTCGGACCACCGCCGCTGGTTGCTCGACCACTGCGAAATTAACGCGATTGCTTTCATTTTATCCTGTTTCTAACTGTCCTGCCTCCGTTCTTTGCATTTTACATTGCATAGTGCTACAGTGGAGGTCTCGTTAATAAGTCAAGTATACACTTTTTAATTTTTTTAAGAATGGCGAAAATTCCCGTAATAATATCTACTTTTTTACTTAAAATGTTACGTCTAAATTCGGCCAGTGTCATTGCATCTATTGCACTATGTACTCTGTATTCATAAATAGTGAATGTAATCAATTTTTAGACATAAAACATCAACGAGCCCTTCGTGCTGAGCCATTACAATGTTTCCCTTGTTAGAGTTACCGAGCTTATCATTTTGAATGCATAAGAAGTTAATTGTATCTTGTATCTTGTATTAACTGATGTTTGTGCTTTCAATCCCGAGACTATTAAAGCTTTATCTGACGCAGAACTGGTGGGTTAGCCAAAACCCACGAGTTTGGGGAGTTAATTATATTTTGTTAGACCACAAGATATTAGGGGCGGGCTGTAGCTAACTGTTAGTGTTCTAGGTATTTATCTAACGCTTTGAAGCACAAACCATTATTTTGTTTTTTACACATAAAATGCTATTGAATATTAAAGCAAAAAAAGTGTAATCCCAAGAGTGTATGCTCAAGAATTTTTCGACTTTGAATCTCGATGTTTTCATATTATGCCATAAATCATATTTCAGATTTTGTATGTTTACGGACCTTCGACGATTTCCTGTCTGCGCCGTCACATTTAAATCTATACAAACAACTTGAGATTGTTTTTCCACTTGCAATATAAATAAGTGTTACACTTATTTATGTTATAGAAAAAATGTTTACTGACATGATGCATGTATGTAGCTTGATGCTTGAAATGGCGAAGATTTGGTATACATTATTAAGGTGTATTTTCCTTTTTATTAAAAAAAATACGATTTCCAAATTTTGCACGTAATTATTATTATATAGACGTTTAGTATTTATTTTTATTTATCCCAAAATGGCGACCTTCAAGCAATAAAGATATGTCACGGAATAGTTTCGTGATTGAGTGATAAGGACAGAATGTGGGGTCATATTAAATAAGAGGACGTGCACCTAAGTAGCCGCCTGTTTTCCTGTGATTGTTAGATGTAAACACTCAAGAGGTCGCTGAATGCTAAGATAAAAACGAACTACAAATGTATAAATCTCTGCGAGGTGGCCATTACGTGAATCGAATGAAGTTGTGGGTTTAAACACTTTCATTCAAAGTTAAACTTTATTTATAAAATTATGGACGCGCATTTCAAAGCTACCGGAAAACATCTAAAATTCTTAGTTTTTCATATACATTCATAATTTATTTAAATAATATGATTTATTAAATAAAACATAAGTATATATTATCGTTAAATTAACATTTGTAGGATAAAAGGGTGAAAACTTTTCGACCCTAGACTGCGTCCAGAACTGAATCCGGAAGACGTGGGTTCGATTCCCGCAGCGGCAAAAAACGTTTATTTTTATAATGTTTCATCTAAAGTGCCGTGATTAGCAATATAAAAACATAATATAAAAATTAAAATGATTATATCTTATCGCGTTTTATTTTGATTTTAAATTAACGACGTTACGAATATTATAGTATTCATGGTCACGGGACAGACTGGATCAGAGAAAAAAAAAACATGATAATATCCGAAAAATAGTTTTACTTAACCATGTTTACTATTTGTGTAATGCAAAAAAACATTGTAATTAAATTCAATCTTTATTTTCAACTATCTTCAGAAACTTTTGTGATATTTGAGGAACGTTCTTATTAACGCAAATGTGAACGTGTACCCGTTTTTATTATTTCACTTAATTTGTCCTGTGTAATGAAAATATAAAAAGTTTTATGGCACATTTTAAATGGCGCCTTTCCGTTCTTAGACTCACATTATTTAAATTGTTATCTCAGATGAATTATAACCGGATAACCTAAGCTGATCCAGCCTTAGCATTAGCATGATTTATTAAGATCGCTTGCTAAGGAATGCACGGTCGTATCTAGTGCATGCTGTGGTCACATGCACGGATTAGGTATAATTCTAGCCGCATGGAATCATTGTATGACGTTTTATTTAAAAAAAAACAATCTAAACTTGAAAACCCGGGATAGCAATGACATTCCTGACTGAATTAAAAATAGACGCCATAAACCCGTAAAAATATTTCCATAAAACATAAAAAAATATTATGTAAACCATTACGGACGGGAAATTACAAGAAAACTAACGGGTTAATAATAACATTCGAAGTTAGACATTTAAAACATTAATTTGCGGGAAAAATTTGAAAAAAAAATTGAGACGTTTGTCTCGCGACCATGACCTGCAAAACATGCGAAATATCGGGCATTAAAAAAAGATTAAGGCGTTAAGTCCGTAAAAATAGTGAAATAACTTTAGTCTCTTTAATATTTAAGTGCAAGCCTTAAAATATCATCTACATTATAATTTATTACATTTTTATTTTAGTTTGGATAAAAAATATTATTTAATTTTTTTCCTCAAAAATAAATTAATTAAAAAGAAATAATATCTATCTTTTATACTATTTTGCAGCATTACGAACGAGTGTGTTATTTATAACCTTATTTTATTTGAGGTTCATAAAAAATTATAACGAATAAAGCAGCCTGACCTTTGTGCTCGTGATTTGATAACAATTGTTGTTAGGTGGATGTTATCACTACATACATCCTTAGATTTTCATTCTAGTTTGTGGTTTAATTGCGAAGATAATGATATTGTATATAAATTAAAATTAATAGGATCGGGCGGTACATTGCGGATATATATGGAGAGCGTTTTATTTCGCTTTAACATTGTTGACAACTTTAATTACTTTGTTTGACTTAATTAATTTAATTGGCTACACACCAGTTCGTAAGATAAAGTGTTTCAGAGCAAGGCTGCCATTTTATCACAGGGCCAAGTCCTGATTGTTGCAGGGCCCACCTGTCGGGACGTCCCAGGAGGGGCTGTTGTAAGCGTGGCAGACCCTGCTCATGATCTCGCCGAGCTGCCTGCCGCATAACTTCACTGGGGCAGCGTCACTCCGCGTGGCAGACAGCACCGCCGCGGCGAGCAGCGCCAACTGCACTGTCGCCGAAACCAGCATAGTTTTATCTGAAACGATTTTTTTTTAATTTTGTTACTTTTTTCACAGCGCTAGAATCGTAGCGGCCAGTTAGAGGAGGGTTTGTTTCGTTAGATAATAAGCTGGCCGCATTACGAACAGGTTTTTCGTTCTAAATTCGAAGGCAGATGCTACGACACTGCAGTTTTATCTAAAATTTTTTTTTAGTCGACTTTAAAGGTATATACTATGTAATATATAAGTATAATAATTAAAAAGGTATATTATAGGTTAAGGACCATAACCACACCGGATGGATTTTTGTTAAAGTTTCGAAAATCATGGCGTTCAGGTAAAAAGTAAGCTCTAACGGCCGATAATATGTTGACACAAGTGTTTTTCGGCTGGGGTGGCGGAACGATAGGACTTAGGGACCTCCAAGGGGCCTATTAATATTAAACACCTTTGCAGTTCCTTCGATGTTACGAATGACCTTGATCTGCCGTGATCGCTTATCATAGAACCTTGTCCGTTTTCCATAAAGAAAAGCCAAAGATCCGCAAACGAAATAGTGGAGAGTTAAAAAGTAAGCAGCAGTGTCAAGGTATACACCAAGTCAAATGATCTGTAATCTATTTGCGAAATGTATAATCGATTCTAGTACAGATGCGGGTTCTCCCGATTTCCACACCGCTTATCCGATTTTCAACCCGAAATAAAGGCAGTATGGTTTAATACATGTCGTAAATGTTATTTTTTATATAATCGTACCCAATGTCTAATTTATAAAATAAATTATAAAGAAAATCAGTACAAAATTTAATGACTTTTTCGCAATGTTTATAGCAATATAAAAGGACTATTGATATAGCGAGTTTATTGCAAAATGAAAATATTATGAATATTAAAAGCTAACATCATCTATAATTTCCATTATGTAAGAATATAAATTTAATATAATAGACGTCTAAAGCAAATCTCGATACCTCAATGTTGCACGGATTTTGGATTCAACGTTGCAGGAGTGGACAACAGAACGCGTTTCACGCAAACAAAACTACCGAATGCAAGTAATTCGAGTAGCCTATGCTTTTATATTGAAGGGCAGGTGTAACTTGACACCGGTACGCCCTTTTAAATCCAACACCGATGCTTTTCATTTCCTAAGTATAGTCGGCGCGTATCGTGAAATGCATTTTCTCGAGTATCGAAACGGAAAGGAATCCAATCCATCTCATTTTCCTACAAATAAACAGTTACATTAGTGCACGATCATTTGAGTTGAAAAATTACTGTGTGACGTTAGGCAAATCAAACGATAACCTTTTAAGAAACTCATTTACAAAGACGCTGCGGAAATTTGAAATGTAGGCTGTATCAAGTTTGTTTCTTTTTATTGCAGTATTATTTATCTTCCAAACAATGGTCGAGCAAATTCTTGTCTTCCGATATGAATTCTAAATTTGTAGTGGTTCAAGAACCTTTATTTATCTAAACGCGAATAAGACTGTTCTCATTACACATCGCAACAAAAGAATACATATTAAGTTACTCGTGTGTCCTAATTTAGAAACATTGTTTTTTTACTTAACTGAGTTACTCAATTAGTTCATATTAGCCTAATTTTTATTACAGACAGCAGTGTCTTTAGCTCTTTCACTCGACGTGATTTTAAAATTTTGAGCTACCCCATATAAAACTAATCGAAGTGATATAAAATTACCTCTTACTCGAGAATAATATAGCTTTGCATTGGTGGACTGTTTTTAGAATAATTTCAGTACTCCCAGAAATATATGACAAACAAACAGAAAGTACCCTTTGAAATATTAGTAAAGACAGAAACTAATAAAAGACAGCGTAAAAGAAAATAAGTACGCACGTGTCAAATGTGTTAGATATTTGCAAACGTGGCGATATGTATAAAGCAAGACAAGATGACTTCACCTACCTCGGCTCATTTATAAAAATGCAAATCAGCTTCATCCTCTCTTCAAGTGCCATTCCAAGAATAACCAGAGTGGGTGCGAATTTATTTTTATTTAGATTTGTCTCCATGGTCTTTCGTGGATGCAGTAACTAAAATAAAAACAGTGTTTTTATTTTAGTTACTGCATAATACGGCCACTTCCACGCTGTGCATCGTTTACGTATAAGTTGAGGCCAGTTTTGTACTTATCTTGAAATAATAAGTACATCAGTCAATCTTGTGCGTTTCGTGATCTGTTTTGATTCGAGTAGAACGTGGATGCCAAAGAAAAAAGCCTAACATCTTTAATGCCGTTAGACTTATCAAGCTCGGGTTCGATACTCGGTTTAATTTATACCTCGTTTTATGAGAATAAATAACTAATGAACCTTTTGGGTACTTTTTACATAATTATAAACTTAATAAAGAAAATATACGAAACTTTTGTGTGTTCTGTGTCTGTGGCAATAATTTAACTAAAGAAGGAAAATAAACCTCTGAAGTGTTTGTTATGAAATTGTATCTTTTAAAAAATATACATTCTGTAGCGCAATCATTTTATATCCCATAATTGTATCTAGTTATAAATAAACAGTTCTTTTTTGCGATTGAATTTTAATATAACCCCTTAAGATTGCGATGTTCGGTCTCTTTTATTTGCGCAGTCTTTTATTTACAATGCAGCGACTCCTGGTGTTTGTGTCGGCCCTTAATAAAGTTAACGAGACTGTACCAGCGTCTGGTCGAGATTCGCCGAGACGTCAAACAAATGCAATTGGACGTGAATTGGCGGGACTATAGGGTCTGTAGGCAATACCGTCTTAGGCCCTGGGGCACAAAAAATTTGGGGCCCTGATGGAAAGTGAAACAGTGAACGGCAAAATTATTTTTCCGCTATTATTTTATATTTTTTATTTATTCTATAAACTTCTATCGGAATATATGTACCAAAAATATAGAATCTTTAATATCTAGTTTAAGTAAATTAGCGAATACCGTCATTTTCATAACGCCCCGTGTGCCCTTATGGTAAACGTGTTTAGCCCGACGGTACTGTAGGCTGCCCAAGTTTGTCGTCGTGATTTAGTGAAGGACCCAGCGGAACTTGCTTCGCTTAGGGCGCGGCTGTCGCCGAGGGGAAGAGGCAATGCACTTTACTTACTCCACTTTGATGTTTTTGCCATCAGTCCACAGACTTAAAGCTCTTTCGAACACAGGAGGCGTGGGATAGCCAGATTCTCCCAGCTCGATACGGGTGTTTAGTAGGTGGTTGTGTCCACTGGTAATTATGTATAATGCACTTTATTTGAACGCGCCTGTAAATCAAATTCGAAAAACGATGACTGTACTTTTTAGCGTTTCGTTCCAACGCTACGGCGTGAATACGATTCCGATTGTTTCGGAGTGGCATAATGCTTCACGAAAGTCGACACGGCGCGGTGGTTGTAAGTTTTTTTTTTAATTTTTGCGGTGATGGAGTACATTTACAACGGCTTTTTGCTTATTTAGAGTTTACTTTTCGCAGTTAGCGTTTTGTTTTGATCGACAAACGCTCGCGTGAAGCGGCCATTGTGCGCTGATGATGCTTTTAAGAATTGATCGTTTAAATATAAATGACTTGAGACTCGTTTCTATTTCTGTTTTGTTTCGCAAAATTTCTTTATGATTTAAGTACAATTTTCGTATATTTTACTTTAAATCAAATAATTTATGGTACGCTGTATCGTTGTGCGAATATCGTCTGTTACGTTCTTATATGCGTATAATATATAGTTTATTGGAAATGCTTTTATTTAATTTACGTGTAAAAATATTATTAACATTTTTGTCAGTATAGAACCAGCTAATGATTTATTTATAAGTAATCATTAATTTAAATGAAAATAGTTAAGCTAAAATAACTCATTTTTAACAAGGCTGTAAGTAATGGATTCTCCCTATTAATATATCGGGAACGTTATTCAGTGATGATATATTTTTTATATTAAATCATTTATTTGTGATACATGAAACAAGGTTATAATTGAATGCTTAATCCCGCAAATTCCTACTATCGAAACTAGAACTATCGATATATTTTAACATAATAATTATATTATAACGCTCAAGAATAAAATACAAATATTGTAACAACTAAATAGTAACAATTAAATAAAAAATACAAATATAAATGAAAATACAAATATAAAGAACATCCTCTATATAAATAAAATGATAGCTGTCTGCCGTGCGCTATTTTATTTAATTCATTTAAGTTAAAGTTTTTACTTATTAATTAAAATTATAGGGGACAAAGAAGTTTTACGGACACTTGGCCCATATCTAAAAAATATTGTGATATCTCATTTAACGAAAATTTATTAAAGTTTTGAGTACCAACGACATTAATAAATCACTACTTGTTCAGTGATGTGTGTTTTCTTGCCGTGGGGAAGTAACGCAGACAATGTATGTATCAGGTAGTAGGTTATATAATAATGACACAATAAAACTACACATACACATATAACAATCTTGTCGTACTTTTTCTACAAGTTTTTTTACTTTTGTATCAAAGTAATAGTTCAAAACTTCATTGGTGCCGGCACCGGGGATGGAACTCAGGTTGCTCGAGTATATTGAATTAAAGGCCCTGAGCCCGGACACTGAGCCGTGATAGCTCAGTGTCCGGGCGCTCGCCTTAATTCAATATACTCGAGCAACCTGAGTTCGATCCCCGGTGCCGGCACCAATGAAGTTTTTAACTTTAAGTGCTGACTTATCACGTGCTCCGCGGTGAAGGAAAACATCGTGAGGAAACCTGCATATTTTCGAAATAATAACAAAAAAATATATATATATTCCGAAGATATGTGAAGTCCGACAATCCGCAGTGGGGCCGCGTGGTGGACTATGCCCTGATACCCTCTGTATAGAGGAGGCCTTTGCCCAGCAGTGGGACATGTATAGGCTGTTACTTTATGTTTATATTATGTATTAATAATGATATGTCAGAAAAACAAAAAAATGATACGTTAATTTAAGCGATATGTATATAACTAGCTACGTACCCGGTGGACGAACTATATTATAA